AGCGCCTGCCTGGCAAACACGAGGTCGTGAGTTCAATCCCCAGTACTGAAAAAAAAAAAAAAAAAAAAAAAAACAAAAAACCACTACCTTACCCAAACTCACACACAGGTAAGTTACCTATAGATCTACCTTCATTAGAGAATCGAATTTGTAGTTAAAAACCACACAAACACACGTGCTTCAGTTCATCAGTTCCAGATGAGTCACTTGAGAATTCCATCAAATACTTAACATGGAAATAACAAATTCATCCAGAAAATTAAAGATGAGAAAATATGTTACACTCCTTCTGCAAGGCCAGCATTATTCTGGTAGCAACACAAAGCAGACATGAGGAGAAAAATAAATTACAGGTACATGCCAAAATTCTTAACAAATTATTAAAAGAAAATACTAACCATTCATTAAAAGGATTATACACTGTCTCTACATGATATTAACTGGAGAAAGATAAGATTTATTTAAGTTTTGAAAAGCAATCAATATAATTTGCCATATTAATGGACTGAAAAAGGAAATCTTGTAATATTTCAGGTAACAGAAAAAAGTAACAAAAATCTAACATATTTTGCTGAAAAAAACTCTCAGCATACTAAGATTAAAAGGGAATGTCTCTACCTGATATCTGTGGAAATAAATTATTTTAGAAGACCTACAGTAGCTTTACACTTAATAATAAAAGATTGGGTTCCTGTCAAGGACAGAGGAAAGGCAAGGATGTCTGCTCTCATAACCTCCATTTGACATTGCATAGGAGGATCTAGCCCTTGTAGTAGATGAGAAAGAGGAAATAAAAGACATCCGGATTGAAAGCAAGGTATAGCAGTCTTTATTCATAAGTACCATGGCACACAATAACAAGTAGGGGCTATTTAAAAAGTAGAATTCATAAGCAAGTTTACCGAAATGATATGATATGATATTAGTATGGTAGGATCAATAAGTATATATAGTCAAATACAAATTGAAATTTGAAAATAAAATGATATAATTTAAATAACACAGTGTGACATGGGACTGTATTTGATTTAAAAATCAAGACTATTGCACAGAATGCTATTGAAAGAAAAATTTTAAAAACCTAAATAAAGAAGAGATATACCATGTTCATGAATCAGAGGAACCAATATTTTTAGAATTCTAATTTTACAAAAATTGTTATTCACATTCAATGAAATACAAATAAAAGCCTAACAAGATTTTTAAAGAAATTAACAGGAGTAATTTAGAATTTACATGAAATGGAAAAGAAAAAATATGTAGAAGAGTTATACAGTCAGGGGCTGGGGATTTAGCTCAGTGGCATAAGCACCTGCCTTGCAAGCAGGTGGTCATGAGTTCGATCCTCAATACTGGAAAAAAAAAGGTAAAAAAAAAGAGTTATGCAGTCATATGTAAAGCTATAGTAATTAGCTAGGATGGTGTTGGTATTAATAATAAGAAACCACTAGAATAAAAAATTTAGAAATAGATCCAGACAAATATTAAAATAATTCTTGATGAAGATACAAAAGCAATTCAATGTGTAATTCAATGTATAATCAAGGAACACTACCTGAACAATTAAATAAAAACATGCAAAAACTTTAATTTTGATTTGTTACCTATTTCAAATTAACTAAAATGTAGATCCTTGAGCTAAATGTAAAACATCAAAATATATAGTATCTAAAAGAAAATATTGGCAATTTTGGATACAGATCATAGATATAAAAAAGTTTAATTTTCAAATTAAAAAATTGATAACTTAGATTTCACAAACATTCACAACTTCTACCCTTCAAAACTCATGTTTAAGAAAAGGAAAATATAAGCCCCAAAGTAAAAGATTCTTCATATTCTCAAATTATAAAGAACGTGGGTCCAAAATGAACATAAATATTCTTCAAAACTTAGTAAGAACAAATAACCCAATACAAAACTGAACAGAAGATTAAAACAGATATTCACCAAAGAAGATGGCAAGTAAACTCAGAAAAACACTGTCAGTTACTAGAAAATTGAAATTGAAATCAAAATAAAGACTTATCAGAGTCAAAAACTTTAAGAAACAATATCCACTATTTGCAAAGATACAAAAAAAAAAAAAAAAACCTTGCATATACTGCTAGTAGGAATTTAAAACAGTACAAACACTTTGGAAGCCAGGTGGCAATTCTAAAAATTATAAAGTTGGAACTATAAAAATATTGGCCCACTATTAGAAAAAAAAGATCAAATATTAATACACAAACATTGACAAATACCAAAATTATATCGAGTGAAGAAAGCCAGAATCCCTAAAGCGTATCATCTAAATTCCTCAGTTTATATATATGAAAAATTATGATGATGGAAATATAGATCAGTGCTTGTCTAGAGATAGAAAAAAACCAGACAGGAGAAATTACAAAGCAATCATTGGTATACATATATGGAAATGGATATACATTTATGGAAAAATCATGGTGTAAATTCTGAGTATGTGCAGTTTATTTATGCCAGTTATACCATAAAAATCTGCTGAAGCAAAAGTAAAAGAAAAATTGAGTATTGGTTATCACTGATTATGTTCCCACAACAATTCTGCTCGGCTATGACCATCTTTCAGGGTTCACTGTCCCTCCCTTTTCTCTCATCTCTTCCTTTAAATTTTCTTCTGCATAACAAATCAGTTAACCTTATTCTTCGTGCTGTACCTTACTTTCCGCAAACAAGATTTCCATTTTAAATGATGGTTTTTAAATGCTCTTCAACCAACTTTCTTATTAAAACTATCCACACCCTCAGACTGTAAGGGGAACATCTTGTCTTTTCTATTTTTTTTAGATGTTCACCTAACGTTTTGTGAGTGACCCATATTCTTTGGATAACTTGGGATCATCTGTATCAACACTAATTATTTTACTATAGTAATTTTGACATCTACTGAATACTTTATCTCTATTTTTTGTTTTGTTTGGTTTGGTACTTGGAATTGAACTCAGGACTTTGTGTTTGCCAAATGGCTTTACTGCTGAGTTAAATCCCCGGCCCTTTAGCTCTGTATATTTTATCCCTTTCCAAATTGACTTAGACTTCTAAGCTTTGAAAATTGTCCCTTTTTTTAGACATTTTTCTCTCGCCTTGTTGTCAAACAGATTGTCTACTGTCATTTCTGCTGCTTTATGCATCTGTTTAAGGAATATTCACAACTTCTTCCTTTGTAATTTCCTACCTTTAATCGGTTTTAATTCATAACAGTTATAATCAAGGCAGGAAGACTGGTAAATTAGAACAAATATAAAACCTGAATAGGTAACCTGAAGCTTATTTTTTTTTGAGTAGCATACATATCATTTTTGCTACCAGTCCTTACATTTACTTTTTTTTCCAAGATAAATCACACTTATCTGATATTACTGTGCCTAATTCCTAAAATAAAATCTAGGACTAAACAGAGCATGGCAGCACACACGTGTAATCCCTTGTTTACAAGCATTTGTTGAACTGAGGCAGGATGATCTAGCAAGTTCAAGGCCAAACTGGGCAGCAAATGAATACAATTCCAACCCACCCTCCATAGCAAGACCTCATCTCAAAAAAGCAAAATAATAAGAATAATGATAATAAAAATAATCTATAAGTAAAATGTAGGACTGAAATTTCTTGTGTCCCCAAGGGAAGACACTGTCAATTTTCCACTGAATAATTTGTCGTTTGTCTTTTGCAAGAACTATATGCAGTGTTCTTTTCTATATAAGCAGCTGTTTCTAATATATTGTTTTATACATAGTATACAGTCTCTCTTATGAATGATAGCATATTTAAATGAAAGCTGTTGAAAGAACATGTTAAAATAAGTTTTACCTCAGCAGGAGTAATTTCTCTAATCTTTCCTTGTTTACTGCTTAAATAACATGACTGATAAAGATAACATTGCAAAGGTGCTGCCGACATCTTTGGAGAGTGATATATATGGGGGAACCTGAGATTTATAACTTCTGCGGGAAGCAATTAGAACTTTCTAGCCCTTCCGGTACCCTGAAATACTTTTTCCATTTAAAATTTACTTATAAGATCCTTGTTGATGTATGGCTGGGTGTACACGAATTATGTAATGATTGCTGAGGAGAAACACTATTAAAGGGCATAACTGGGCAGTCAAGTTAAATGATGCTTTCCCCGCTCTGTTATCTTTGTGTCGCCTCTATTAATCTCAGCCTCCACAAATCCTTCCTTGATTAGGAGCTGACTGCGGCTCTGAGATTGTCATTTAGAATTTGGTGTTTCCCCTGGTACTTCGAGATGCATTTGAAAGGCGAGCAGTCCTCCTCTAGTCAACCCCAGGGGACACAGGAAATGCTCCCCCTCACCCCATACTGGGGTGAAATGGGCTTGCAGATAAACCTTGCATGTTTTCAGTCCTTGGTTTGCTGGATTGCAGAGCTCCATTTGTGACTTTGCCACTAGGCCAGTTCTCTACATCGATGCTCCCCTACCTCTCTCTCTGTCTCTCTCTGTCTCTGTCTCTCTGTCTGTCTCTCTCTCTGTCTCTGTCTCTCTGTGTCTCTGTCTCTCTGTCTGTATCTCTCTGTCTCTCTGTCTCTCTCTGTCTCTCTCTGTCTCTGTCTCTCTGTTTCTGTCTCTGTCTCTCTGTCTGTCTCTGTCTCCGTCTATCTCTCTCTCTCTCTCTGTTCTCTCTCTCTCTCTCTCTCTCTCTCTCTCTCTCTCAGTGCTGTCTTGCTTTCCTGGTTTCTCCTTTTCCCCTGGGGAATCCCAGTCACCAAGTCGGTCCCTCCCACTTTTTCTCCCGGTATCTACACCCTAAGGTGTATCTACATTCCTAAGGACTCTCTCCTCTAGACCTCCTTTGCATCTCCCAAATCTCCCAGGAATCAGTCACCAAATGTGTGTGGCTACCTTTGTAATTCAAAACCTGTAGCCCAAGCAGTAATCTCTGTGTTCCTTGTGCCTGCCAGATGTCTCTACTGCCCGATTCTGTGGTTTTGGACCGCTGATGTTTCTTCTTCTCTCCACAGGCAACAAGTCCTCGGGGTCTGTTAAGGGAAGATGCCAAAGGCTCTCTTCAAAAGAGCTTCCGGATTCTTAATGAGGCCAAGAAGTTAGCAAATGATGTAAAGCGTGAGTGTGGCCAGTATCTTTATTATATTCAGATTAGTTGCATGGTAATTGAATAAAATTGTTTCAGCCTGACTTTTATGATTATTTTATAATGTAGATATAAAACAAGTAATCTTTCTAACAAGCTTCGGAATATTTCATCTCACTGTCTTACTTTGCACTGAGTAATAATTCAAATTTTAAACCTAATTTCTATAGCATTACTTTACTTATGTCTAATGCAAAGTAACTGTTGATATGATAAATTCTAAAGGACCAAGTTCCACATTATTTTGGCTTAAGAAATGAAACCAAATGGAATAATTTAGTGAATGAGGCATAAATGTCTCTTCTGAAACTTTCAGTTTTGTTAGTGGATTGTGAAATTTTTCCATATCTTTTAAATGTATTTTTCATGTGTTTTATTCCTACCTAAAAACTAAACTGCATAAAATATCTATTATTGGTTTCAATTATGTTAAGAGTTTATTATTGAACATTCTGCTCTTTATATTTCACATATTGCTCGTTTCTCATGGAATTGCCTCTGTTTATTGCCTTAGTCTCAACCATTTTCTACCTAAATATTAATGGTCCTTGGGAAGCATGCTACCTTCTACAAGTCCAAGTTTTTCCGTGTTATTTCTTCTCCTTGGAGCACTTCATCCTTGGCCCTCCTCTCCTACTTACCTTTCCCCTGGCCTTCACAGGATTTCACCCTCGTATCCTCTTCTCTGGGAAGCCTAACACACTGCCCTTCTTTCCTGCCTCCTCTCTCTGCACGGCCTTCCCCTGCAACTTGTCCAGCCACTACAGTTATGAACTTTATTCCATCTTCTTTAGGAAAGACATAGAATCTTTTGTTATCTTCAGATTTCTAGTGTATATCACACAGACTAGCTCAAATTGGAAAAAAGCTAATACATATTTAATGAAGCACTGGTTTGGGATTTTACCTATCTCAGAAAAAGAAAGTGTTAAAAACTACTTTATATTTGCAATGTTTTAAACTAATAAAGCGTGGTTTTCTTCAGGGCCCCATATGGAATGATAAGGCCTGTCTCCATCAAGGTAGCACTCTGAAAAGAGAAGGCTTCGACTATGTATTATAGGTGAAACCAACCTCCTACTTCTGTAATTCCCTACTGTAGCTGATATTCCTTCTTGCATTCAGAAACGTTACTGTAAAGAGCTAAGTTTTGTTCTCATCTTGAACAATTGGAATCAACTCCATTACTTTGTGGTTACTGCTTCTTATCTAATACCCTTACCCAGGGTCAGGTGAGTTAGTCTGATTTATGCAAATGCAGGGACAGATCATGCCTTTCTTCAATACTTTTCTGTTTCATTCCTCATAGATCTTTCTTTGCATTAATTTTGACTTACTAGAATATTACATTAATTACTTCCAGTACCCTGGAAGGCTAAGGAAGGCAGGTTACAAGTTCAAGGCCAGCCCCGACACCTTAGTAACTTAGTGAAAGGCTATCTTTAAAATCTTAAAAAGCAAACTAGGATTAGGGGTGTAGGTTAGTGTGAAAGCTCTGGGTTTTTTCCCTAGTACCACAAAACAAAAAAAGTAAAGAAAAAGAAACAAGCAATAAAATATTTCTATATTTCTTTGTTGGTAATTGAGTTTTTGACAGTGCTTTTAAATTTCACCTGAGTTGTATGCTGTGTGCACCACACTCTTCCCCAGTCCTACCCCTACCTCCGTTTCCCCACAAATACTGGTGCCATTAAAATGAAGGAAAAATATCCATTTTTAGCATTTGAAAAAGAAATCTGAGGCCAAATGTGGTAGAAAGGGTTAGGAGACAGAAATGTTCATTACTTTCAATGTCTTTTCTTATACTTCAGGTAGTACATTATTTAAAATAATGAAAACCCAGAAACTGTTCAAGTAATAATTCCTCCAGAAAAGCAAGCCAAGACTATGACGGAGATGAGAATGTTTTCTTGCTACATTATGACACTCTCCTGATTTGTGGCCAATTACACAGGTTATAAAATGGCTGTTAATCAGGGAAATGCCATCTATTACCACCAGGAACTGCTGAAATAGGCCCTACAGAGCAAAACTCTTGACAGCAGCTATTAAAATAGAGATTTAGTCATTTCTCTCTCTCTGGTGCCCACAGTTAGATGGAATAAAAATGGCGGGGCCAGCATACCCTCCATATTTCTAATTTGTTGCCTGGTTCAGTTCAGTACAATTCAGTTAACTCCTGAGCCTCAGTCACAAATGACTTACTGCTGCTCCCTGCCATTTTTATACTGTCCTTGCCTTGAGGGAATCTGAACTTGCCAGCAGCAATTTGTTTAGCTTTTTAATTTTTGAATATACATCTGTTAAAAGCAAATTTGCCCTTGTGTGTGTTTGAGCTGTGAAGCCGGTCTGCACTGCACTGATTGAACGCCTGTGGAGACCAAAATCGTTTTGTTGATGGATACGAAGCTTGGTACAGGCTGAAGGTTGAAAGAGTTAGCAGATGAATGAATGCCACCAGCGAATTAATATTACTCTACAGATGAACATTTTTGTCAATAGAATTGTTGAGGTGCTCCAAAATATGTGCAGGGTGAGGAATGAAGCACTGTGCTACGAGGTACATTAGGAATCGGAGACTGCTGAGACCTTACCTTACCTACAGTGGCTTTTCAGTTTTGGGTAGCTCCTACTCCACCCCTAATCTCCATCTTAGGAAAAAATACATAAATAATAGATCCATAAAATAAACAACTGCAGACAAAATTTAGATGAAATCAAACACCTGTTTCCAGGCCAAAGAATTTTGACTCAGTGGATTGCGTCTGATATATGATGCTATCTTACGCAGAGAGCAAAATCAAACATTGCTCATGCATGTTTATCCAACTGGTCAAGGATTGTCCTTCTATACTCTGGTTCTCCACATACTAGTTTACTCGAAATGAGTGTATCACAAAGATTCTGAGATCATGGTTATACTTCACTTGCATTACTAACCAGTTGAGATTTTGTTATTATTTTATACTAGAAAAAAAGAATAAATAACAACACTGCAATGCTGTTATAGCAAAGTATGTTTCAGGAGTTACATTTTGACAATAGCATTCTTATATTGGTAAGGATATATTCCTTCGGAATCTGTGTGCTGTAATTACCTGAATCAGTCTTTCTATGGGTGAGCATGTGCAAAACAAATACATAGGGGCTGGGGATTTAGCTCAGTGGCATAAGCACCTGCCTTGCAAGCAGGCGGTCGTGAGTTCGATCCCTGGTACCAATAAAAAAGAAAGAAAAACAAACACATTTCCCACTGACGAAAGAGGTGCAGTTTTAGACTAGATGGATGAAGTTAAGTCCTGGACCCTTTGCCTACCACACTCTCTTATCTTTGGTCTTTGAAGTTGTTCATACAACATTCTGGTTGTTCCACTGGTGTGAGAGCAAATTAAAATTGAGAAAACGAAATTAGGGTACACTAGAGTTAGGCAGAAAAACAAAAATGCCAAATCAGTGGCAAACATAGAGGGCAAGGGTCCCTAACAAATATTGGATGAAAAAATGGGCAAATACTCAAGAGTATCAAGAATTGTTACCAAGAAGGTCAAAACCCAGGCTTCCACATGACTTCCTGCAGATCCCCCAAAGACCACAAACTCTTCCTTCAGAACACAAGGTCGACACAGCAGAGACTCCCCTGCTCCGGAGGGAGCCTGCAGAGCAGAGGTGGAAACAGAAGCCATGTGCACTGACCAATTTTCCCTACAAGGGAATCTTGCAAAGAGGATATTGTATATTTTGGAAAAGGAGAAAAACAGAAGCAATGTTGAGTATATGCAACTAGGCTTCTATTTAAGAGAAAACATTCATTATCTATTGACCAGTTTAGCATAGACTCCATTTAACTAGATTCCTTCAAAATCAATAGCAGTTCTATGAATTTTATCCTCATGACTGGGAGATTCTCTCGAAACATTTACACCCCTCTAATGTGAATAAAATATAAAAATTGCATTCGAGGAACTTAACTAGATGATGTTTGAACATTTCCATTGAAATCCATACAAAGCAATTTGCTAATTTAGTTGAAAATTTGAATATACATATATGTGTTTTTATATATATGTATACCTACATTTATATACATTTGTAGGTATACACAAATATCTTAGGAAGTATCAAAGAGACATAGACATAGGTTGTGGATCAAATAGTTTAAGAAGGAAAAAGTCATAACCAACATTAAAAAGAGGTAAAACACCCCAGGGCAATAATTAAACCAACGTGAATGGGTAGCTGTTTACCATCTACCTGGCTGTGGTAAATGCAGTACTTTCTCATACACACTCTGGTTTGTTTCTTACATCAGTCATACAAAGGAAGAAAGGTGTTATTTTCATTTTACACAGATAAAAAGGGCTAGAGATGACATTTGAAACCCCATCATCCAGTTCCAACTCTGTAGTCATTCACTGCAACACACTACTTTTTAATGACTAGCACGTTTAGAGAAGAAATGATTAATGATCAAATAAATATTGTGTCACATTCTTTTGAACTCCTGCAGAGTACAGTTCACTGTCACAGTTTTCATTTATCTAAACTGCTATTCATGTTTAGCAGCAGGCCAGGATCACAGTAAACAAGAGTAAACGTTCATGATTACTAGAAGTGACTTTCAGCTCTGTTCCGCGGTTTTCACTCTGGATGTGATTCTCCTGGGGTTCAGTAGGCACCCAAGAGAGGGAAGTTAGATCGTCAGACGTGCTCGGGGTGCGTCCTTGCTTGTTCACTTCATTCTCTTCCTCACTCTAAGCCCTGTCGGTGTCAAACACATTCTTGGACTTTAGACTTTTACTATGTGAGGAGAGAATCAGAAAAAAGCCAGCTCCAAGGAAGCTACCCAGAACTAGCCTTGGAGGCTTGGTGAATGTGACCTTTAGAGAGGACTGGGGGGATGGTGACAGAGCTCAGAGGCACTGTGACTGCCTGGCAAGTGCAAGGTTCTGAGTTCAACTCCTAGTACCAAAAATAAATAAATAAATCAACAGAAGATTGGATGACACAGGAGTATGTCTTTTACAGAAAAAAAATAAATCCTATAAAGCATAGCTAGGTATTGTGAATTGGATCATCTTCTCATTCTCCCAAATTGATGAGTAAAGAATTAGTTTAGACTTTTTTACGTACCAAAATTCTGTTTTTTCAGTCATGGTATAACTCAGATTGCACAACATGTTAATGCCTTAATTTTTTTTCCATTTCAACTCTAGATACTTATTTTTCTAAGATTTTTCTTTACATAGCTTTTTCTTATGCATGTTTGTAGTACATCATGATTATTTTCATTGTGAGGAAATGGTTACATGCACCTAATGTACCTCAATTGGTTTAACACCCCTCCCCCCACACACCTCCCTCCCCAGCATGTTTTGGGCCCCTTCCCATTTATACAGGTCTCCTTATTATCTATCATCTTTTACTCTGCTCATTCTTTCCATTTTAAAAATCTGCAATTCCTCTCTGTTCACAACTTTTAGTCACCTAATTCTATTACCAAAGACACAAAATGTTTAGACTTGCCTCATGAATTTCCAAAATTTCTTAAGAAATAAATGATCGGTGTAATAAAGGTTAAATTAGAAAAAAATCAGAGTCAAATGACTGAATCATAAAAATCAGAAGAGGATCAGAATATGCACATTATAATTTTATAGTACAGAGAGCAGAAGGTCAAAATTATTACCTTAGAATTTGAAAGACAGCAGTGAAAATGGTCCTCGGGTCATTCCTTTTTTGGAATACCTGGCCTGGTGGTTGTGTCAGTATTAGCTGTCAGAATGCAAAACATAGTACAAGCCCAAGGAAGCCCTTTAAATGAACGATTTTTTTCATTGTGCATGAATATTTTCCTTGCCAGAGCAGTTGAAATTCCATTATTTAAAAAATAAATTCCAATTGAGAAGCTGAAAATGAAATTTCCACAGTTCCGTTTCCTAAATTAATGAAGATTTCCAAATTAATATCAAAAGTGCATCCCTTTATTTTCAAGGAACTCATATGGACATCACGGTAGTCATCACACGGGCTATGTTTCTGAAACTATATCTTTGATGACCTATCTGAAGATCTTATTTCACTACCAGGAGTAACAATAACAGAAATATTTTTTTTAAAAAGATGAATTGCAATTGACGGAGTAGAAAATTTATTTACCTAGAAAATATATTTGAGAGGCTAAAGTTGAAAATAATGATATAGTAGTGACTGAAATGGATATATTGACGTTTCAGAGTCATGCTTTGCTGGAGTGTTGTATGCTTTTGTTTTTCCTTAACATTAGGTCTCTGGCTTGAAACATAAAAGCACACATCTTAAGCAATAGTATCCGCTTGTATTAATGTAATGCATAGTGTAATCGTGGTTCTTTGTGTGGTGTAACAGTGGCTCTTAGGACTGCCTACAAAACCAGATATGAAATGGATGAGTGGTATTCTCAGAATGCTCTCAGACCTAGAACCCTAATAGTTCAGAATCCTCTCTCTGCCTTCCTTTCTCTTTCCTGCTCTTCTCAGATGATGGCCAAGAAGCATATATGATCACCAACACAGTGAAGCGTCAAGCGGTCATGAACACATGAGTTTTATATCATGGTCAGACACATTTATAGGTGACAATAAATGAATCATATCAATTTTCTTGTTTTTTATTGACCTTATGTTAAAATAATCCAAATTCCCCCATCAAAATATAAACTTGTTCTATCCTTTTTGTTTGTCGGCTTTCTGTTCACAGAAAATGACGAGCAACTCAATGGCTTGACAACCAGGTTAGAAGATGCTGAGGCTAGAAATGATGCTCTCCTGCGAGCCTTGAATGACACTTTAGGAAAGTTATCAACCATTCCAAATGGTAAGCATTCAGGACCTGCACCTTCTGTTAGTTCCACTGAGCTTTCTAAGAACATTTTTAACTTTTACTGATTTTCTAACATTATACTTGTAGTCTCATCAGAAAATTAGATACCGATTTTCTTATGTATAAATTTTCTTTGTGAGAATGAGAAAGAAAACCACATTTCACAATGTAATGTGACTTATCCTTTGTGGCCTTGAGCTGTCATCCAAAGGAATATTTCACAAACAGGAGAAAGAAACATCTTGATCAGTTCCGGGAGAACATGGCGGACAGATAACAGCTACTACGGAGGCTCTTTGAAAGGCTCAGTTCAGAAGTCAGGAAGGGTGCGGAGTAAGGAGACATAAGCAGGTGGAGCTATGCTCTGCTGACTCAGGAACGAACTGGGCTGAGAGAAACCAACTTGGAATGCAGTCCTGGTGCTAAAACAGGAACAGAAAAGCCTCAGTGTGGAGGCTGGAGCCCACACCATTGGAAGCCGCGATTTGGGTTCCCCGCTGCGCAGTGACTGCCTCTACATCAGCTTGGCAAGGAGAGAGACGCGCAGAAGCTCTGAGAACGGGAATCTGCGAACCGAGTCAAAAACAGGATGGGCAGGGAGGCGTGTACTGACTTGTGGTGAGGTGAGTGAGAGAAACTGACACTCTACCACAGTTTGACTCCAGCGGAGGACATTCTGGGCCCGAGCAGTCCTGTGGGAGCAGGGCTCGGTGGCGACTCCAGCCACACACCCCCCTCTCAGGCGGGATTGGTGAGAAGTGCCTAGCCTATGTGACGCTGCTGGCGGACACAGTGGGCTGGCCCAACCCAGATCCCAGAGCCTGATGGTGGCCAGAAGGGGCAGGCCCCGCGTAGGCTGCCTGGTCCGTAACTCCCTGGTGCGCTGCAGTGGGCGGAAACACCTAGCCGGCGCAATTCGATCAGGCTGTGGCTGACAGGGAGAGAAGCTGGGTCTCCTATATAAGCTTGCATATATAGGGAGCAGAGAATATGGGAAGAGGCAGCAACAAGAAAGGCTCCTCGGCCCCCAATTCTGAGAAACAGGCAATAGCGGACACCACACCAATAGACATAAAGCGCCATATAGAGAGCCTCATAGATCAGTTCAGGAATGAAGTTATCAATGACCTGAAGCTAGAAGTATGCAGAATAGTTAGAGAAATGCTAAGCACCACCCAAGAAAAAACAGATGGTGGAATGGAAGAACAGGAAAAGAGGGAGAATTGTTTGATGGAGAAAACAGAGAAAGCATAGAATACGTGAAGCAGGTTCAAAGGGACTACCAAGAAACTAAGAAGTCTATCGAAGACTGGCATAACAGCTCGAAAGAAACTAAGGACAGACTATCTGAACTGGAGGGCAGACTTGTAATATGGGAGAATGAAATGAAAAACTTCTTAAAAATAAAGAAACAAACAGCAATAATACAAAGACAAGAAGATGATAAGAGGATCCATAATTTAAGGATTAAGAACATAAAAGAAGAAGTAGGGACACAAACAAATGAACTACAAAAGCTACTCACAGAAATAATCCAGGAGAATTTTCCTAATTTAGCAAAAGGTAAAGATACTCAGATGTATGAGGCATACAGGACCCCAGCTACCTACAACCCAAACACAGCAACACCCAGGCATATAATAATAAAAATTCCAGAAATTCAATACAAGAACAGAATATTGAAGGCTGTCAGAGACAAGAAACAGACCACTTACAAGGGAACACCCATCAGAATTACAGCAGATTTCTCTGCACAAACCATCAAATCATGAAGAGTGTGGGGGGCAATAATTCAAGCTTTGAAAGATAATAATCTCCAGCCAAGATTGAGATATCCTGCACAACTGTCCCTGGAAATAGATGGAAAAACAAGGTGCTTCCAGGATAAAGAGGAACTGGGGGAATTTGCAACCACCAATTCAACTCTACAGAGAGTATTGCAGGATATTCTAAAAAAAGAAAAATACAAAGAATCCAGAAATAGTGGCGGGGAGGCCACAACGAATGGAGCAGAGAACAAAATGAAGAAGACAAACTGACAGCTACTGACAGAAAAAGAGCTCAACAGAAATGAGACAGAGAAGATTGGATGATAGGAACAGCTTTTTTTGGAGAAAATGACATCTTAATAGGTAATGCTGATTTAGTACCATCTTGTTTTGAAGTCTCATCTAGCTTTTGTTCTTCTGTCTCCAATGGTCTAAACAGGTTGTATCTTATTGGATTTTGCTATGTACGATAGTATAAGAAAAAACCTTTTAAAGACAAGGAGATTATACAGAGACCATTGTTCATTTTCTGTTAGTCGATTCTAAATACTCTATAATGCTGTCATTCTCTTAAATGGATTTACATTGTTTTGATATATTTAATGCTACAGTATACGAAGTTGTACTCAAGGATTTCAAGGAAAGAGACAATATGGTAACTACTTTTGGGTCAGGATTATCTGGTGGTGAAACACTATTCTGCTTAAATGGTTATGTTTTGATCTGCGCTGTTTCGCTGTTATGCCCTCTTTTATCTCAATCTCCACTCCATTATTTACTTTTTTATATTTATCCTTTTAATTAAAGGAAAAATAAATAAAAATAGCAGGATATATTATAGTAACCCACTTTGACTTTCCATTATCTCGATTTAAAGCCCTGTATTACTCTCACCATCTTGTTTTTGACTGATGTTCCCCTATTCTGTTTTGCTGGATAGTATCAGGTTCGAAAGTTTAGGCATCAGCTGTGAAGATAATGAGATTCATTATAACGCCCATTCTCGTTGACTTTTATCTACTTTTGAAGACCTACAATGTCTCCAATGTTTTGTTCTTTACTGTTTTGTTCAATTTTATTATAGCTAATGATATAGGCAATTCTATTAGAGATAGTGGGAGGCATTATGGTAACCATTGTTGATCACCTTGTATTATGTTTTTGCATTATCTATTATGTCCACCCTTTTGACTTGACCGATTCTGTTCTGTTATGTCACATTTGGTTTTACTCTCTTCCAAAAAAGTAATAAGAACCGTGGGAGCAATGAAACCCAAAATGTGTAATAGTCATTGTACAAAAGAGAGGAAAAGAAAGTGCTCTAAACTATATAACTGCATGTATATTTAAGTGTATAAGATAGAAAATGATATCACAGAGTTTTATTGGATCATTGAACAGAACTGTTTGCAGTATCATTGTTGGAATGTCCACTTTACAAGCGTTAATTTTGTGACTTGAACAATTATTTCTAAGATGACAATATGTAATCCATTAACGGGTGATTTCCTACTGTTTATTTTTTTTCTGTAAATCTGTATAACTCGTACCCTTTCTCTGCTTTTTTTTTTCTTTTCTCCTTAAATAAAACTAAAAAAAAAAAGAAAGAAACATCTTACACTCTATTGTCCCCCAAGTTTCAACCCAAGAACTCTTTTATTAACGTAAAGGATGCAGTCATACATACACTGTCCTCAAACACCACGATGTACCACCACCAAGTCCCAGTGTGTTACAGTCCCTCCGGTGACAGAAGACAACCTACTGCCATTCCACACAGCTCCTAGGAAAATCTAGTTCCATCTGCAGCTTTTAAAACTGTTAGTGGTCAAAACATGTTCACACTATCTTTCTATTTGAACTACTTGAAGTATTCGCTTGATTTTGGTTTCTAAAAGTCTGTCTTCTTTTAAGGTTGTTATTTTTATATTTTCATACTGTAATACAATAACAAGGGTTATAAGCATTTGTTGAATGCTTACTTAGGGCGCTGTGTAAATGTATGTGATTGTTATACCAATCCTGTGAGGTGAATAGCGTCATTGCCCCCACTTTCCAGGTACAAAAAAGAGACAGAGGACACAGAAAGCCATTGTTTAAAGTAGATTTGTGTAACTTAACTGGCAAAATGAAGATGTGTTATGTAGAGGTCCAGATTTCCCTCACTCAGTGAAATCATTATATACTGAAAACTTGTTTTAAAAAAACACTAATTGTTCAGATTTTCTTGTCGCCTCTTGGATAGTGACTATAGTAAGGCCCCTACTTAGGAACAGCCCATTAGATTGGTTCAAAGTACATCTCATTTATAAGTCAGACAAAGTCTCATACACCTTAGAAACAAATATATAATGTAAAGCATTTTTTAAAAACCCAGCACACTCACAAATACTGTAAATAAACTATTTTTGCTCTTGCAGTAACCTTAAAATCATAAGGTAGACACATGAGCTACTTCCACGATCATTCACATCTACGAATGTTCATAATGCAAGGTTTCTTTGTATCTGTGATAGTTCACTCCTCAAGTGTTTGTAAGTCTGGGACTTACTATACCTAGAAAATCTATACCGAGAGCAAATACAAGTATACTAACACATAGTCTAACACTCCTGAAAAGGTCTCTCTATCCTGAAGTTGAAACACATCCTCCTACTCAGGAAATGCAGATTAAGTCTTAAGCTTAGCTGTGCTGAAGCTATACGGCTCATGGCAAATCAATTTCACTCTTTAATATGTTCAGCAACAAATCACAATATGCCCTTACACAATGAACATTTAGAACACTCACTGTGCTATTTTAAGAGCTAATCAGGTATTCATAGCAAAGGTCCCAGAGAAAATTTAATTTAGCTAAAAATTTGCTTCATTTGTTACAACTGAATGAGACGAAGTTCAGCCTTTCCTGCCCTAAGTGTGTCCCTGAGGTCAGCCAGGCGCAGCTTCACTGTGACCAGCATGGATTAAACCACCACTCTAAACCCTTTGTTTTGTTTCTGGTACCTTCTTCTGCTGACAGACACAGCTGCTAAACTGCAAGCTGTTAAGGACAAAGCCAGACAAGCCAACGACACAGCCAAAGCTGTACTGGCCCAGATTAAAGACCTCCACCAGAATCTTGATGGCCTGAAGAAAAATTACAATAAACTAGCAGAGAGTGTGGCCGAAACGAATGCGGTAGTGAAAGATCCTTCCAAGAACAGTAAGCTCTCGTGTTTCACGGGATGATGTCACTTATTTCTTCATGCTGTAACCACGGGTGCTAGACTCATAAATGGCAGAGCTGGGGAGCACGTGGGTGGGGTGGTCCTGTCTCTCCTTTATTCCTCACGCACCACCCAGGTAGAATCTCAGTCTCCTAACTCTGGCTTCTGCCTTTTTCAGCTACATTTGTTCATCTGAAAGGAGATTTAGAATTCTCATTGTCTGCATTATATGTGGTATCAGGCTGCCAAATACTTTTGAATCCATTAGTGTAACTGAAAACACATTTGTACTCGGGAAACTATATACTCACAATTGGCCACATTTCCTGGGACATGGAATTCAAGAACACACCCATTAGCAGGCCATTTAGAACAGGGAATAAAATATCAATTTGAGAAACATTAACATTGGAAAATTTTTGTAATTTATTGTTTATGTTCCAAGTTTTAGCATTTCCAGGGAATAAAAATAAAGCATGTGTGTAGTTTATAAAGATTATATATTCACATCTCTTACATACTATATCAAATTATATTGATTCAATAATAATTTACTGAGAAAATCTGGAAGAATTTAAAATGATAATTTATATTGTTAGTTTTATGTAGTGGATAAACATTTTCATTTTAATGTCTTATTTTCTGGTCCATCAAATGATAAGACATTATTTTGGAGTATGGCTTTACCCCGAGAGCTGCTTGGATTTTTGTTTTTTCACTTCCTAGATTCTAGCCCTCTTCACATATCATTTGCACATGTTAGCAAAATATCTGTGCAGCCCAGTAACACAAACACTGGTTCTGACATCGTGTGATATGCAATCCAGAGGCAGTGGGATTCAGAAAAGGGCACCTGATTTTAGCACCGTCTCCTCCATTTGCGTGCCAAGGATGTGCTGACAGACAGACAGGAACCCATTCTGTATAACTGCAGAGATCAGGACTCCTGTGACACGGGTTATGGGGACTCCTGTGGCCCCTTTGTGAGCGAGAAAGAGCCCAGACCTCTGATACGTATTCAAAGCTGGGAACAGCACCATTCCTTCCAGGAAGGAAAAAAGGGAGATATCAATTTTTTTTAGTTTATTTAAATATAAACACAGATAGAGCTTCTTCTATAGTCCAAAGATTCCATTTGCATAACCGGATACATGCCACATCGTGATATTTCCAATCAAAATGAGGGAAAGATGCATTTTTATGGAAATATTGCTACCTATTTTATCTTTTGAAACATCCTTTTATTCTATTTTAGGTTGACTCACAACCAGTAATGGCTTTTTGATGATAACTTTTTTCTACTTTATCTACTTTATCCTCCATTAACAGAAATAATTATCTATCAATATTAATTAAATTTTCTTCATTTTCTACTTTATTAGAACACTTCATTCAATATGACCAACTGCCTGCTACTGAAATGTTTTGAATACTTTTATTTGATAATGTTTGTGTAAAATGGGGTCCGTTGCTCATTTGTATCTCTTGTAAAAAAAAATATAGCATTTTGGTGATAGTTGCTTTTTTCGGTAATATTTACAGTTCCTCATGAACTAATTTCTAATTTCTCTGTTTTACTTCCTCATGACATTATCTGCAGAAATCAGTATGTATATGTTGACTCCTACACCATTAAGTAACCGTTATTCTATGTTCTCTGCCTATTGCAAAGTGCTAAGCTTCGCATGGCCTCCTGTTTTGGTACTGCGGTCGATGTCACTATGGGATTCTTTCCACTGTTGTTGTATGAAAGCTGGATATAAAAAAGGGTCTTCCTGTATATAAGTTTAGTACTTGGATATATTTGTTATAAAATGTTTTAATAGTATTATTAAAAACTAGTGAAATGTCTGAAAAATACAATTGACTTAACCAAATAAAGCTTTTAAAAGTCAATTAATTAGAAAAGTAACAGAATTGATAAATCCAAAAGGTAAACTTTGGTGGTGTAATTAACAAGTCAAGTGATTGGCAAGTTTAAGCAAGAAAAATAAAGCACAAAATAGGCCAAGTTCTAAAGGACGTGTAACAACCGAGGGGAAGAAATTTAGCATATAAAAAAAGTACTTGGTGAGGTTTTATGCTAACAAATTTTAGTTCCTAAAATATATAGATAATCTAGAAATTTACTAACTTATCAAAACTCATTTTTAGAAGTGATTTTAAAATATACCCCTTAAGTAATTAGGAAGGAAAATGAGAAAGTTTTCAAAAACTACTATAAAAAGAAGCATCTGACTTAATACCACAGATGACTTACTTTTCAAACTCCAAGAAAAGTCCCGTGCAGCTTAGATTGCCCCCAAATGTAGAGGAAGGGCAAGACCCCTCCACAGGCCCTTTTGAAGCATTTACTATAAAAGCTTTTGAGAACACTGCTAGGGCCTGCAACTTCTTACCTAAGCCTAAGCAATCTTTGCTTAACTACTCTTTCTCTTTCTTATGAATCTAAATCTAAATCAGTATTCCTTGATTCTAGAGTAATTTGTAGACTATCAGAATAATGGTGGAGAATTAAAGGAAAGAAACAAGTGAATGTTTTATTTAAAGTGTACAAAACAGCAGGATAACTGTAGTTATGTCATTTATATGTAACACTAGATACCCTGCACTTGAGGAAGAATATACTCAGTTATTGATTTAGTAAGGTTAATAAACTTATGTCCTTTTGAGACACCACTAACAATACAGGTCCCATTTATGAGCATGAGTTGAAAATTCCTACTTGAGAGCCTTGTTGAAAAATAACTTCCCTTCCTTTGGGCCTGCTTAATTCTATCCTGAGCCATAGAAGAGAATAGTTGTAGGTGTGATGGTCCATAGGCTTGCAGGGCAGGTAGCCTTGGACATTGAAGAGTTCTACTTTTTCATCAGGGTCACAGGGACAGAAAGCTGAACAATAAACATTTAACCTGATGATAAATGATGTAGTTGGATATTACCACCAACATCCCAAGGAAGGATACGTAGCTTTGCGTTTGTTATGTGCCCACTTGTAAAAAGCACACACTGAAACTCTATGGATCTGTGATAACTTTCAGCTATCTTAGGGTTGAAACTTTTGAAATTGCCAGGATTCAACTTTTTTTAACCTACAAAAACAGTGATTTAATATCATTCAAACTCATATATAGCCCAGGACAATCAACTGTTCTTCAAAATGAAATTGAACTGCGGCTTGGAAGATTTAATTAAAGTCTAACATAGGCCTTCAGTCTGAGGGTTGTTCAACATCGAAATGTTCTTCAAGCCACATTTTGATAGCTTTTCTCTCTAGGATGTATAAAGAAAGACAGTGAGGAAAGGAAAAAAAAAAAACAATTTGTGCAAGAACCTTGATTACAATGAGGTTCAGACTGGGATAGACCAGGTGACATTTTCAAGATGCTGTCATTTTCCGGCTTCTATGGCTGAAGTTCTGTTCTATAAAGGTCAGCTCTTTGGCTGCAGCTCAGAATTAAGCATTGAATTAAGTTCATCTTTTTTTTTTTATTGAATTAAGTTCATCTTATCTTCTGCCTTCAATGCTAATTTTCACCTAAATCACAAAGCCCAAAACTTTTTCTAATGGAACTGCTTGCATCTCAAGTGCAGTATTCGCATTGTGCATTTGCCAACACTCTCTGCTTGGATCATCAAGGCCTTGCTTTATGCCGTGAGCAAGATAATATTGCTTAACTAAACACACTGCTGTGTTCGTTTCTGTGTGTGTGCATGTGTGTGTGTGTGTGTGTGTGTGTGCAAACATGCTCTGTGCAGTTACAGATGCAGATGCCACTGTGAAGAATCTAGAACAAGAAGCTAATCGACTCCTAGATCAACTCAAACCCATCAAGGAGCTTGAAGATAACCTAAAGAAAAACATCTCTGAGATAAAAGAACTCATAAATCAAGCCCGGAAGCAAGCCAATTCTGTAAGCGATTTTTGTTTTCACAATCAATAACTGATTATATCTGTTAATATTATCTCTAGAAGGATTGTCACACATACACACACACCGATATATCCTGTGTAATGACCTTTAGTTCGCTTTTTTGAGCCTTTACTTTAAAGCTATGTGCAGATGGAAGAAGGAAATTTTTCTTTATAAATTACAAATGATCATTCAAGGGAATGATAATCACCTTAGTGGTTTAAAAATTGAGAATCCTAGTATATTTTGTTACTGTTCGAATATAATTTTCATATCATAGAGGAAAAAAGACATATATGCAAGCAATTCTTAAGATAATGCAGAAATACCATACCAATTACATGGGCCAGAAGTACTCTAAAAGGAAAGGTCCCTTCTAGTAGGTCAGAAGACAGCCCAAGGGAAAGAGTTTGGGCCAGGACTGGAAGTGCCCTAATCTAGGTAGAGGGGACAGGGAGAGGGAATGTGGGAGGGCATTCTGAGATGAGGAATGGCTTGACCCAAGGCAAAAGGTGAGGTCATAGTGTCTGCTTGTGAAAGGCCATTCTGTTTTGTCATGAGATACTGAGTAAAGTGAACATTAAATTGGAAATGTCAATGGAAGCCAGGTCTTATCTGTGCTGCAGTGATAAATTAATCACAATCTATTGTTGGGTAATAATTGTATGTAGGAGGAATCCCATTGGTGAAAGTGTTTGAGTATGAACACTTTAATCAGAGTGCATCAGATTTATGCTTCCTGAGTATCAGTCTAGAAGAACTCTGTAGCATGTGAGAAAACCTAGAAAGGACACCCTAACTGTAGCTAAAAAAAAGTACATGGCATACCATTTCACTATGTGTTTTAACAGTGATGTCTTTAAAAAAAAGTAATTATAAATATTCTCTTAGGAATCAGACATTCAGCCACAGTCTTTGATTAATCACCAAATAACATAGGGAAATCTGGACATTTGTATTATTTCTTCACTGTAAAAAAGCTAAACATCTGCCAAAATATTCATCGCTTGTGGATTCTTTCCTCCTCCCTCATAGAAAGAAAAATTTGTGACACATAAGTATATTATGTACCTGTCTCATAGTAAAAAATACATGTAAAAAAGATGTTGGATAATTCTAGGAAAATTTTAAATATTTTGCAAGAAGTTGCAACAAAATGCTTTATTTTTGTTAGATTTTAGGAGCAGCTGTTTTTAAACGAGTTTTGTACAAACCAAGGATGATACTTTTTGAGTTGTCATAGAATTTCAACTTGGCTTAAGTGTCTGGCTATGATTCTAACATATATTTGATATGAAAATTAAGAAAGATATTTCTTAATTAAAAAATTAAAGACATTTATTTTAAAGTAGCTTTCTTTGGGATTGTTGATTCTCAAATTGAGTAGCTGATACTCTTTAAATGAATGTCCTAGTTGCTGCTCTAAAAATGCAGTGAAAATCCAATAGATATAATGAAATACTGAGTAAAAATTAATTGAATTCATGATGATTTTATAAGGAATAATTGTTATGTAAGAAATGCCTTAGAAGTACCAAATGCTTAGTGATTTCTTTTAGAAACCTCATTAAGGAGTTGCATTAGAAATACAATGACTGATAGAGCCAAAGCATATTTGTATTTAGAAATTTCTCCCCTTTTATCAGAGGGATATATCCTAGAAATTTTTTCTAAATAAATGTATAGATTTGATTCCCATTTTAAGTTGCTCAAAAGACATATCTATAATTGTGATTCAAAACACAATGTATTTGTAAGGAGAAATGAACTACAAATTGATCACCAACAGTAGGCATTGCCTGTATTTTTATGCACTGAGATTATATTTAATTAGGTACTGAGATTATGTTTATATTATATTTGAAACCAGAAAATAGCAACTACAAATTGTTTTTTACATGTGTAAGTAAGAATTGAGAAGTAGGTTATTTTTATAAGATTAACTGCTGGCATATTAATGGCAATGTCATTTTGTTCAAAAACTAAAATTTCAAATATGCAAAATATTCCATAAAGTAGATTACTCGTAAATCCTAGTGGCATTCAATATGCTTGACTTTAAAATAACCACTTTGTTAGACTGAATTCTCGAGATGGGCTTCATAGTTCAACAGGCTTCAGCACTGGCGCGCTGCTGGACGCTCTGATGACCCCTTTCCAGCCCGCAGTCATGGCATCTCTGGGAGCTCTGCTAGGCATCTAAAACCAAAGTCTGAAACTCATCCTGAGACTAAACAGTCACACGCTCCCTAAATACCCAGCCATTCCTTCTCTAAACAGTAACTGAGTCTTGTTTAATCGTGTTCTTTAAATAAACATGACTTGTTTGTGATTAAACCTGCCACAAGATGGTCCCAACACCAGGCTGTCAAGCATTCATGAAGTGAAGACTAAGAGCTACTTTGACTACTAATGGATCCCCAGTGATTTTATGTCCATTTCGTGGTTCAAACTGCTCATGAATTACAGTCAGATCTTGATGCCTTGTTCTCTTACTGTACCAGTGGCACCTGTGCCTCAGACATTAAAATTGCTCAACACCTAGGTCTTCAGTGACAATGGTTTGGGAACCCTTGCTGTAAATTCTTAAAAGCTCACCAGATCTGACACCATTTTCTGAAGAGTAACAATAGGTGAAGACTATGTTTTCCCTCCCTGCCCTCCACTATGTGGTCTTTCTCTTGCGTGACTTTATCCTTTTAATCGTGTGAGCATACATTGTCAGCTTCCATTGCACAAGGCTATGCTATTAACATCTGGAGTCAAAATTGTACATTTCCTGCTTAAGGTTTTCTAAAATTCTTTTTGATTCACCTCCTCTCAGCTTCATATGTAGAAGAAAATGTCCATCATTTGGAAAGCAAAAAGCCAACTTCCTCACTGAAAACCATACTATCAGGAAAGGAACCTCTCTAAACAGTAGAGCAAATACTCTGGGCATCAGGGGTCACCTCCCCTCCCCACACATCCTGAATCCCTCAGATAGGAGGCTGGGAAAACACTGAGGGAGAAGACAAGGACCAGCAAGCAGCCTCCAAAGTGGATTCCTTTTGTTAGTCCACCTCCAGGCCACTACACACAGAGCCTCAGGAATGACCCTCTTCTCAGATAATAGCCCCTACTTATTTCTTTCCCAAACAGTTTCCTCTGAATAGAGATGCATTTAGCTTAGCAGCTCACGTGAGGAAACACCACCACCTAACTATGTGCACTGTGCTATGGAGTCCATAGGAGCTGCCACCAATCTGCTGGATTCTCAGACATTCCCAAATATATGTGCATTTACCTGGATATCAGTGCCCCAAAGCATTCCTCACCTCTGCCTTTTGAGTCCAAGCAGTTTACAGCTACAGCCTCCTCAGTGTAGTCTTTGCCCTTGCTGAGAGCCCACTGTGCTCCCTACATCCACAGCCCAGTGAAATTCTTGGAGACACCCTCTTGTGGCATCATAATATGGAGACTAGGCCATGTGGCTTGGACTTTGCAAAAGCATTTTATGGGAGTAACAGGAATGCTAGTTACTAGGGATGTTCCAAATGTGCAAACTAAACAAGTAAGGAAAAGTATCAGAAAAAATGGGAAAATATAAATTTACTGCATGTGAGGACCAGTATTCTTCTGGAATCTAGGGATTGGAATGAGTAGCAAAAGAGGTTTTGTATCTTCTCTCTCTGCCTCCCACTTCGAGTAGCCATCAATCAGCAAAGTAACCACTTCTGTGTGAGTTCAAAGAACTACACCGCTGTCCTGAAAGCACCCTTTTCTGTAATTCTGTACCTCACCAAAGGAAATTAAATCCAATAATGTAATTTGTGATTGAAGGAAGACTCCCTCAGTGTAAGCTAAAACTGGAAGGAACAGTATCATTTGCTTCATATAGGAATTTCTTTCTTAGCAATTTATAGTAATTTTTAAAGTACTATTCAAAAGAAAAAGGAGCTGTTACATATATTAGTAGTGATAACCACTGGAAATTATTTTCATCTTATTTCCTGGAAACTTAATAAAAAAAGGTATAATTTATTCTGCAATGTATGTTCTGAGAGGAATGATTAATATTCTTATTGTTAGGCCATCTAGAACAAAATGTCTTTGTCCTGTTTCATCTGTAAGAGAAAGAGAGGGCCAGTAATTTCCTCAAGAAAACTGGCTTCCCTAGATTTATTCTCTCCTTTAAATGATACCAAAATTGCTGAAATTTGAATTACAAAATTTCATTAAGCAACCATCATAAAGATCATTACCATTAGCTTCTTATAAAATCTCGTTTGGAAAAGTGTGCCTGTATTCTTCAAGGAGAAACACAGAACATTGAACAGCTCATTGTCAGAGTTCTCATGGAGGGCCCTTCTTCGGTGCCTTCATTAATGAGTATAATGAGATCTGCATATGGGCAGCTAATGATACTTTGGGGTGATTGCAAAGGAACTGAAAGAAAAAGTGATGATGGCACTATAATTGTTTGGGAGCTACCTCAGACTGTCTGAGAGATTCAGTCTTTGGTCTTTGTATCTTGTTTTTCTTAAAGATCAAAGTATCTGTCTCTTCGGGTGGTGACTGCATTCGAACATACAAGCCCGAAATCAAGAAAGGAAGCTACAATAATATTATCATCAATGTCAAGACAGCGGTCGCTGACAACCTCCTTTTTTATCTTGGGAGTGCCAAATTTGTAAGTTTAATGTGTGGCTTTTCTTTAGACTTTTGTATATATGTGGAGTCAGATGATATCCTGGCCCTGAGAAATGCATGGAATCCAGTACCACGTTCCCCAAACTGCTTTGCAGACTTGTAGAGTCTTACAAAGTTCTGAAGTGTCAAATAAGCAGGAGGAAAATCCTCTGTGGGTACTCAAGCACTTTACTTTCATTTGTCAGTATACTAACATTTACTTTGGATCATATTTTTAGATCTATCTGTTTAAATAGAAAGGCTAATAAGAGTAAAGCTTTTTTCTGTAATCCCAGCACTCAGGAGGCTGAGGTAGGAGGATCGTTGCAAGTTCAATATCAGCCTGGGCTACAAAGTGAGCCCAAGGCCAGCCTAAAATGCATGGTGAGACCCTGTCTCAAAAAGACAAAAAAAAAAAAAAAAGAATAAAGCCTTTTAAACATTTTTCAAACAAAAAACTAAACTACAAGAGCTTGCATAATAATGAAATGAAAATAGTAAATTGCATACTAATTTACTATTGATGAATCATCTTCTAAATCATGTTGAATTTTTACTCAAATTGGACTCTTACCTATAAAAATTCACCCATGAACTTCCACCTGTTTCTGTTTGAACCACTGGGCCTTGCCCGAGTGTGGATCTTCCATACAGATGACTTTGCAGGAGATCAGTCAGGGCATAAGTGAATACGTGCCATTTCCCTCAGAAGCTCGGGGTCACTTTGGGTTAAACTATCACAGATACACCTTACAGCTAAGTCTTTGCTGAAAATAAGAATGAATGCCATTATTTTACATTTCTGTCAATGGCACCTGTTGCAGTGGACTCTTCTGTCCTTGCACCTCTTTCCGAGCACTTTTGTACATTTTAACAATTGTTTTTTATGTCTCTGCACCAGACGGACTTTCTGGCTATAGAAATGCGGAAAGGCAAAGTAAGTTTCCTGTGGGATGTTGGATCTGGAGTTGGCCGAATCGAGTATCCTGACTTGACTATTGATGACACCTATTGGTACCGTATTGAAGCATCGAGGTGATTACTCAAAATACATGAAGATAATTGAGTAACAATTTTGAAATAGTTTTTCAGGTTATGAGCGAGCTGCTATTCCATTTCAATAAGACAACTGTGGATGAATGAATATACACGTATTTCAATTTTGTACATTAAATGTAAATGTATAAATGTGTGGGGGTGAGTACATCTGTCATACCTCTTAGGTGTTTACAAAGCTTCAAAGTACTCATCAGAGGAAGCAGTCAATTTATGAGTCCTTCAACTGCCATTTGGTAGGAATTTGCTGCTTTAGTTGGTTTTAATCATCTTATATCCCTTGAAAACAATAAAAAGCACTGACACTCCTCTTACTAGACAGGGTTCAGGCTGTAACAACTGTCATTATTGCTTAGTATACAGTTCCTCTCCTAATCTACATAACAACCATGCCTACAAGCATATGCAGTGTGAAAACTTTAAGATCTAAGTATGGTATGTTAGGGTCACACTCCATAATAATAATTAAAATGCAAAGTAATAAGGGATTGGAACAGTAATTCTGTCTCAGAAGCTTTGAACCAATCATGACTTTCAGACTGGATGTAGCTCGCTTACACAACCATTCCTGGCCTCAGTGCTTTCCACCTTTTCTCTTCTTTTTCCAGTTCTCATCTCCCTAATAAATCCTAGCTAGCAGTTGAGTATACGGCTAAGGGTCTAGGGCTAGAGATGAGGCTGATCAGAAATGAGAGAACAATCAAAGAACAAATAGTTATTGAATTGGGATAAGGGTCCATAGAGTTTGATTCTCTTTGTATATATTTAAATTTCTTACAAGAAAAAAATGGAAAGCAATAGCAAAAAGCAATAGTTTTATTAAAATATTCAGCAAAAATTGTGTGTGTGTGTGTGTGTGTGTGTAAGAAAAAGGGAAACAGTATGCTCACATATGTAGAAGTGTTGGGAGTTTTAAGTGTTTTAGTGCATTTGAAGACATTTATTCTCACAAGGTACACTTATTCTATCAGAAAAGATTCATTTTGTTTAAGAAAGACGTTAGTTGACAAAATCGTTCTTTTGTTTCCGTGTATTTCACTTAACACTGCCTCCTCCTCAAAGATAGATTGCCAAAGTGAGACAGCAGGGAAAGAAATGTGACACTGACGCTTTGTTGTGACTGCTTGTCTCAAAAGACACACCAGGCTTTCATATTTAACAATTCATGGAAATCAGTCACTTAAAAAAGAAAATGAAATGAAATGATAATAGCTTTCAAAGTTCTCTTAATTGAATTTAAAGCTGAACTTCTACACAATTTGTATACACAGTTCCGAAGACTAGATAATACTCTGTATGCAGTGTCCAAACAATAAAAGACGTATCATTCCAACAAGGCTGCTTCAGCAGATTTGTATCCAAGATATTTATAAGGAATTTTAGGAGAAATTATGCAGCTTGTACTGCAAAACAGTGGCGCATTTGGGGCTCACTTGCTGAGTTAAATTAGACAAAATACAAACTAAAGTCCTATAAATGTGTTTCAGTCGTGTGTGTTGGAAAGTACTAAATTATTATGTAAAGCAATTTGGTTTCCACTTGACCCAGAATAGAGCAATTCCATCAGCTAATGGCTGCTGTGTCATCTCACATCCTATCAGTGGACACACACAGAATCAGAACATGCTGCTCATTTGTCCTGGCAGAATCTGATCAAAACTATCTAGCAATGATCAGACTGAGTATTGATGGGAGAGTCAATGCCTCTGGAATGTTGAAATCTACATACCCAGTTTTCTCTAAAGTTTTCTCGAGCAGCTCTGTATAGTGTGTATCTTCTCAACCTCAAGTGCACAGAGATAGGACACACAATTCATTTTCTGTATTGTCTTCCTCTCCATTTCTGCTTGTACCCTTGAAGAACGGGGAGAAATGGATCCATTTCCGTGAGAGCCCTGGATGGACCCAAAGCCAGTATTATGCCCGGTACCTACCACTCAGTGTCTCCCCCGGGCTACACCATCCTAGATGTGGATGCAGATGCAATGCTGTTTGTCGGCGGCTTGACTGGAAAATTAAAGGTAATGTGCTTTTCCCCAGCTCTTTGATTTCATCCTAACAGACAACACCTGGCCTGATTACTCAGGGAGAAGGCGTGAGACAGCTCTGCAGTAACTTAACCGAGTTTCACTTAACTCATTTTTATGAAAACATGAATTTATTTTAAGTAACAGTTTTTCTCTTTCAATTTTGGAAATTCAATCTCAAAACACCTCTTCATATGCTTATGAATATTTATTTAACTAGTTATTGTCCTGTCCTTTTCTGTGGCATCCGTTTCTTTTTTAAAATCTTGTTTCAGTTGCCTCAAGAGTAGTATTTTTTAAGTACACCTCACTTTCAGAATCCATGCATGATTTATAGATATGAAGTGTTATAAAGTCCATACTCACATCTAATTAAAAGATTTATGAATACCATGGGAAATATCACAGGAGGCATAAGCTTTTGAATCATGATCTGGTTTTAAAAGTTTTCGAGTTGCTCTTTGCTCATTCTTACAAAGCAATGCACTTAATATTCATAATTGCTTCGTGACAGGCTCCTGTGCATTTCAAATTCCAGAGTGTCTGCATGCTAAAGAAGCTTATGTTGATTAAATAGAATTAGCTGTTGCAAAATGACCTGTGGGTGAGATGCGAGAACACAATCAAATATAATAGATAATCCTGAACTTGTCGGAATCACCCTGGGACATGATAGTCAGAAAATGTGAAAAGCCTGGGTGATCCCAATTTAGGAGAACTCTACTTTCATGCAGAGTGAGGCTCCTTTATTTGCTTTGTGTGTGAGATGTGACACTAAGTATGGAAATTAATTCTGTAACACACTAAAATCATTCTCACCATGGAGCTACATGTAAACACACATGGTGCATAATAATATAGTCAAATTGCCAACTTTTCCTGTTTCCTACAAAGATAAATAGAGGAACACCACAGTGTGGTACAAAACCCATTCATTTTGAAATCAAATCCAGTTGTATCTTAATCAATGTAGGCTGCTATAACAAAAATATGATAGAGCTAGGAAGCTTATAATATAGCAACAAATACATTTCGCACAATTTGGGAGGCTAAGAAGCCCAAGATCAAGGTCCTTGCAGCTGTGCTCTCTAATGGATCCTCTTCCACATGGAATGTGCTTTACTGCTGCACCCTCACATGGTAGACAGGGAATTGTGTTCTTTTGGGCCTTTTGGTTGTTGTTGTTACTGTATAAGTCACTAATCTCAGTCATGGAGGCCCCAACCTCATGACCTTACCACCTCCCAGTTCTCAACAGTCGGGTTGGAAGTTAAGATTTCAACATAAAATTCTGAGCAGAATACACTCAAGCCAAAATAGAATAGATAGTAATATCCTCCCCATTCAATGATTAAGGAGTGTGAAGAAAACAGAATTTAAATATCTTGATCAAGGTCAGACAATACTTAGGGACAGAGCTTGGATTTGAACACAGGTTAACAAGCATAGGAGACTCTGGTCCTAAATCACCGTGCTTCCTAACCATGAAGAGGAATGAGGTAAGTGTATAAAAATACACGACAATCCCTAAGCCATGGTGGTCATACCTTGAATTATACTTCCAGGAGTTACTATGCAAATATCTGGCTGAAAACAACTTTATATTAGTCTCAGAAATAAAAAGACAGAAAAATAAGTTCTATAGAAAGATTTTTTTTTTATCACTTAAGCTCAAAGTTTCAAGGCTCCTAGAAAAGGCTGCAAAGAAATAAGTAAAACAATTTTCTGATGAAAATTTAAATGAGCAGGGAAGTTTCTCAAGGATAGCATTTCAGGACTGAAGGACACACAGAAAACCCAGGAGAATCCACAGGTAAGAGAATCAACCTCTGGAAAATTAAGAGGCTCCAGCCAATGATGGAGCTTTCCAAGGACCACTGTGACACTGGCACCAGCGTTCTCTCTGCATGGCCACCACAGTAGGAAAATACTCATGTGATAAGTTTGATCTGAAGTTACAGCTTTTTTCCAATTCAGGGACCATCTTCTTATGTTCATTCCAAAACCCAAACACCCCAGACTGTCATTTTTTTCAGACAATTCAACTAAATGTAGATTAGCTTTGACATAAGAGTTTTAAAGTTATAAGCAGCAGAATGTACTATTTATGTGTAACCTGCCAAGACTAGAATAAGCAGTTATCTGAACTAAATTACCAGGACCTCTAGAATGGGCTGGGTAGTTTCCTCTTTTGTGATGATTCTATGGATCACGCTTCTCTGAACTGGCATTCAATGCATACTTATTGAGTCCCAGAAAACAGCACCTACCTGGTGCTTTAGTTTTCTAGTTTTCCTGGCTGCTTTCGTTTTCTTCATTCTCCTGCATGGAAGTTGGGAATGAAAAGGGTTAGGGCGGCGCTATTGGAGGATAGTTGGTGTGCATGTTTCTTGTGCTCCTTTGGACCCGCAGCCTGGACCCTTTCCCACGACCTCAGACACATGTCCTGTTAGTGTGTGTGCGCCCCAGATCTGCCCAAAGACAATCCTGCAGCCTCACTAACACTAAAACTTCTATGTGACAGGTACTGTGCAGATCATAAACACACTATCTAATTTAATTCCCACAGCAGCCGCATGTTGTAGACCAATGGATGAATCACACAGAAGTTTAGCAGCTGGCCTAAAGTTAGAAACTGGAAGGTGTTCACAGTCTGACCTGGGCAATTATGGGTTTTCTATATTTAGATTCAGCCAAAGCTTGAAACTATTCAAAACATAAAATTGCATCTGTACTGAGCATGTGCAGATACTTTTCTTGTCATTATTCCCTAAATAATGCAGCATAACAACTATTTTCATAGCACTGACAATAAGTAAGTGATCTAAGAAGATTTAAAGTACTTGTGGGAATTGTGCATAGGTTTTGTGCCTACACTATCCCATTTATAGAAGGAAGTTCAGGCTTCAAAGAGATCCCGTGACCAATCCCTGGAAGATATCAAGGGATGATTGCTTTTACTAATGGGGATAAAGTAGTATAACAGAAAGTAACCAGGATCTATTGATGAAATATTTGAGCTTTTCTCCTTCATTGACCTATTTGGTGATGATCTAACATAGTAAAAAGGTGAATACGTATAAAGCCAGGACTATCAGGAGGCACAGATAATCACTTGTCTGGCTCCTGCTGCTGGTAACTCTCACAGATATGTCCAGATTACTTGTTAAATTCTATATTATAACAAATCCACTGTCTCTCTGCAGAAGGCCGATGCTGTACGGGTGACTACATTCACAGGCTGTATGGGAGAAACGTACTTTGACAACAAACCTATAGGTTTATGGAATTTCCGGGAAATAGAAGGTGACTGCAAAGGCTGCACTGTCAGGTTAGTTGAGGTGAAAAATCCCCTGAGGTCTGTCCTGTGTTTCACAGATGTTTGTATTTTATTGTGCCACTGTTCTCTTATCTTGTGGATGATAAGGAGCTATTTTGAAATGATGATATCCAGAGGTGGGTTTACCAAGAAACTAATGAAGTGTCGATTCCCTGGCTCCATTGGTGCAGGCATCTTCCCAGGCCCTGGGAGTCCTGCAGCAGTGCTGTTATACGGTCATATGTGTTCATACATCTTGCAGAGCTAAGATATTTCCACCGCAGTCAGTTAAGACCACTATCTCTTACTACCTTTGTGCCCCTTCACATCTAGGGGTTTCTGTATGTGTGGATAGTGTGGAGTGGTATTATTTTTTCATAAAGAGAGTACTCCCCAAACTGATTAAGTATGCACTTAGAACTCAAGTTCAGGTTTTATTTCCTATAGGACTTTTCTTACTGGCACATAAGGTCCTACAAGTGCTTCCCTGTTGCCATGGGACTCTGAAAGCCTGCTGAAGAGGACAAAAACCAGAGCCCAGGAAAGATGGCAATAGACATCATCAATTATAAGAGATGGGAGCTAGAAACTGTTTACAAGCATACAAAGCATGCATAGAGAATGTATCTTGTGTATACTAACTGAATTGAGAATGTAAAATAACCAGCTCGATTTCTCAGCGTAAAAATTGAGCTCCCTAATCACTTGAGCCTAAAGTAGTTTAAGTATATTGAATTAAAGCTATAAAATACAAATTAAATACCTAGAAGCTTAATTGTGACATGCATAGCAATTCAAACAATAATTTTGTACTTTTTCATTTCCCATTGAAGATGCAAATACACCTTCAAAACCCAAATCCTCCATTAATGTAGCAGAATACACTTCTGACTTCTTTCTCAACATTTCTTTAGTTTCATAAAACAATGTAGCTCTGATATAACCAGAATATCTGTTTTAGAAATTTGCATTTATTCAATGGTCAATGGAGGCTGTAGTTAACTTCCAGTGCTCTTTTTGGCTTATGAACTTATTGACATGGTATTAAGGACAGTTTGAAAATCTGACCCACTTAAGATGATTTTGTCATAATCTTTAAAATCTACAGTGGAAGGTTGTCTGTAAAATCCATTCAATCCAACAACAAAAAAAAATGAGATCTGCATTAATATTTAGTTCTCATAAATAAACACTAAACACTAATTTTCCCTAAAGATTTCCTTGGTACATTTCAAGTAAGGTTTTCAAATGCCTGTTACCGGTAATATATCCAAGACATAAATGTTCTGTCAGCAGTCATATCATGCAAGGCTACAACATCAATTCTGCAAAGATGCTCTGCTCCTGAAATATAGCATTTTATTCTAGTTAATATAATTGCAACAGCATTCCTGTACATTCATAGTGTTTTGTAGATGACTGGGATTTGTGCTTATAGCTTCTTGATACTATAAATCCAGTCCAATCCCAGGCATCAAGAAATATACTATGAGGATATGAGAAAAAAACAAATACTAAAATACCTGAAATGCAAGGCATACTTTAAAATCCTTTTTAAAAGGTATGGAGGTATGATTATTCACACTGAGTTCAAGGCATCGAAATCTGCTTTGTAGAGCTGACATTTGAAGTGAGACTTTACAGTGAGTTGGAGTTCAATAAAAAGTCATAGCAGGTGGAATACGGACAGGCTTGAGTCCTAGAGACCAAAGAGCCGATGTAGAGAAGCTGGAGAGCCAGAAATGTGTGCAGGAAAAAACTAGCGCAAATGTTCTCATACCAGGTTGGCAAATGCTAGAAGGTCTCCTGCAAGTTCTTCCCAGAGTACTAATGTGTTCCACCACCAAGTCAGGTTGCTGAACACAAAGCACACCAGTAAGCTGGAGACCCCTACTTCAGCACAGTCTGCTCAAAATGCAGCCCACGCATGGTGCCACTCACCCGTGGACTTGCCCTCCACTCACTTCAGCCAAGTGCTCTATCTTGGAAGTGCTCATTCCCAGGCCTCCCCTGTCCTTCGGCTTTTTTGTCACATCTCAGTCACTCAGCAAGGTCTACCTTTTGGATACCCCTTATCATTAAATTAGCTTCATCTTCTCCTTTTAAGATGAAGTTGTGTTTACTAAAATAATTCCATACCTTTAATTTTTAATGGATCTTTCTGAGCTGTGCAGATATTTTGAATAGAATTGTTACTGTCTTTATAACTGTCTGCTTATGTAATTGTATGCATTTTAAGTGATCTATCCCAATACTATTTTCCTATAAGCCTTGGTTCCCATAAGATTAATTTCTATGGAATTCCTGGTATTGTTTGGCTTTTGTTTTCAGGAAAACATTCATTATAGTTTAACATAAAGATCAACTATTCAAGTTAACAAAAATTATTTTATGGAAAAAGTGTAAAAGGAGACTAAAAAAAGGTAGACTGGTGAAATGCTGGAGAAGATGCTAGAACGTCTCTTTTAGAAATTTGCTTGTAACAATGATCAATAAGGGTTATAATTGTTTTTATGTTTTAGAGGGATTAGCCTCTCAGGAATATACAAAAAGATGTCCATTTCATTTTTCTTGAGCTTCTGAAAATCACATTAAGTTTAAAATACCAAAGAAATTACTACCATTAAAATGTATTTTACTGAACATTAAAATGATGATGAAATTTTAGATTCTAAAACCATATATACATACATAGTTCTATAGTAAACAAATTACATGGAGAAGAACATGGCTATTCCAAAGGCATAACTAACACTTTCCAACTTGACCAGACATTCAGTTCAACAAAGAAACAAAAAGAAACCAAGGTTCTCTGTATTTATTAATCATAAAAGAGTATTTGCTTTTGCTGGTAAATGTACTCAAAATGAACAGGAAAACTCTAATATAATGGTGAAATATTATGGAATACACCCAAAAGAGCTATTTTTCCCAAATCCAAACTCACCAGTTTTGAGGCTAGACTTTCCTCGATTGGCTATGATGAGCTAATGAATTAGGAATGTTTGGTCACTCCAAGCATAAAACTCTTTCTCACAGATGTGTCTTTTGCTGGAATAGGAGAATATCCCAAGTGTCCTCATTGGGAGGGGTTTCAGGAATCATAGGTGATTTAACCTTTCATTACATGCTTGAGGAGCTCAGGCATGAAGTATTAAGTGATGTAACAAGGCCCTCCTGAGAGTCCCTAAGAGGTGTCTCCCATACCATCGGCTTTTTTCTCTGTTAAGGAGCTCACAGTTTAGAGACATAACGACAGAAACATAAATGTCCTACATTTTTTATAAGAAACAGAAATGTGTTTTGGTTTGATTCCCCCAAATTATCCTCATGGTGCGTTATGAGATTGTGTGTTTTTCTGGCTAGAATTTTTAAATTCTAAGACTGTGTTGAGTCATAACATCCAGAAAAAAGTCAGTGGGGGTTGCTCACAATCCCTTCCTGGGCTTCAGTTGGTAGTATGATCATGTTAATGGAAAATCCTAGTTTACTGAGAACTTCGAGGAATGTCTCTTAGGTAGGTTCTCTGCAATATTCTTTTCTCTCTCATTCAGTGCTCCAGAAATCAGTCTATTCATTATCATGATAAAGGAAGTATAAATAATAAGCAATTTAATCATTATTAATTATACTGTTGATAGACTGGTTTAGTTCCTCAGCCTTCCAGTTAGCATTTTTCATGAATATTGAAAAAGTGTCTTTTATTTCTCTCTAGTCCAGAGAGAAAGCCAACTTGTTGAGAATGTGTAATTGTTCTTTCTACACAGGAACCATTAATTTTTGTATTCTGTAAACTTCCTTATTAGCCATAGTTTCATAAAAAGTATTACAGGCACCTATTATTATATGAGAAAATCATAATATGTCTAAATAGCTTCCTCTACTCTCAAGCTAGCACAACTCTTCAATTTCAGAGATTATATAGATGCTAATATGTAAATACTGAAAATTTGAAAAAATATCCCCACAATTGAGACTTACCTTGCAACAACACCAAACAGACATAAAGATACATATACTGTAGAGCATCATGTTTAAATATTTTTCAAGTGTTTTATACATAAGACTCATCTTACATATTGAGTTATTCAACCAATATCAATTGACAAATATTTTCTGTGAAGCACTTTTCAAAAGATTCCTTCATTCCACAAATATTTAGTGATTCTGTAAACCAAATGTCAAGCTACCTACTGAGTTTGTGCTTGGCATAGGGACTGAACCCTAACTTTCCTGTAGTTTAGAACATCACTAGAAGTGAAGGAGGCAGATTTAAAACACAGGTGCGTGCACACGTACACACACACACACACACACACACACACACATCTCAGACATCCTTCACTGTCTATTCCAGATTATTAAGGGCCTATATTACTTATACATATATATGTATGTGTGTGTGTGTGTGTGTGTGTGTGTATTTATGTGTATGTGTGTATGACCATATATTGTGTAATAATGGAATCTTGGCCAACACAAAACTTCATGTGTTGGCACAAATATCATTAAAACATAACTAACCATGACTACAACTATTCACCAACCATTTATCTAAAACTTAAAGCATTTGAAACACCAATGATATGGTTGTTAAACACACAAGGATATCCAGGTGACAGATAGTGGGTTTGGATCTAGGTGGTGGCAGTGGAGATAGAGAGAAGCAAAGGGTGGAAGATATATTTGGAGTGGCTTCTGACACACAACAGCTTGCAGTGTATTCCCGGAGGATAGTTTGATACATTGAGTAGTAAAACACCACATAGACCAAGTAGGCGGCATTCATCTGAGATGCTTCTTTCCAGCCCTCAGGTGGAAGACAGCGAAGGGACTATTCAATTTGATGGAGAAGGTTATGCACTGGTCAGCCGCCCCATTCGCTGGTACCCCAATATCTCCACTGTCATGTTCAAGTTCCGGACGTTTTCATCAAGCGCTCTCCTGATGTACCTCGCCACACGAGACCTGGTAAAGATCTCACACAGCACATCTTCTAGGATGAGCTGTTCTTCCAACACAATTTTCAGTTACTAGTAAAAGTATCTATTATTAAAAGAAATCTAGATTGGATTCATGGTAGCCAAAACTCCATGATGAGATAACACTTCTGTATTTCCATTGTTAACTTTAATCACAAGTACAGTTTAATCACTATTTATGATTGGTGTAACTCCCCATATAATCCTTTAAGAGAAGCAGCCAGTAAAGATATTTCCACTATAGAATATACAACAGCAAAACTGTTGGTTTTTTTCCTAGTTGAGAAGGAATTTATCTCTTCGGTCTTGTGCTGTTCTAGTCAATATTTCTTATAAGTTCTTGCAGGGAACAAATCTTTGGTTTCCTTAATATGTATGTGTACAAGGTACTACCATAATGAAAAAAATATATTCAACTAATTTGGTCATGACCATTTATACCATAGCATCATACCTGCAAAGCTTCACAAAATAGTAATATCAATTCATTTTCCAAAATGCTTTTCTGTTACAGTGTAACATAGTCAGCAGGTTAGCCACAAGGCCATATTATAAACCTCATCAAGGAGCAAACAGCCATGTATTTCTCTGTCTGTCTAATCATGGGTATATTTTTACTCCATTAATAGAAAGATTTCATGAGTGTAGAGCTCGCTGATGGGCACATAAAAGTCAGCTACGATCTCGGTTCAGGAATGGCTTCCGTTGTCAGCAATCAAAACCATAATGATGGGAAATGGAAATCATTCACCCTGTCAAGAATTCAAAAGCAAGGTGAGTTTTTAAAGTAATAAGCAGTGCGGACCTTAATCATGCCATCTGAAGCACCCGTGAACTTAATCAGGGGAAAGACCTTGTCTGTAATTTTAGCTATTCTCAAGTTCTGTGAAAAATGGATACAGTCATTTCTTCAGCTTAGATTATAGGTGGATTGCATTAGACAAGACTGATTGAAGAGCCAAATGACGGGACTCTCTGTCATTTTCTTTGGAAATCGAGAGCTTAATCTGAAAGCATAAAGCTGTCTTACAACTTGTAACATTATATCCTCTGTGCTTTTCTTTTTTCCTATTGAAAAATGCTGTATGCTTCTCTTTCTTCTATTTGGCCAAGATGTTTTCTTTGAAGCCACCCACAATTCAGTCCAAGGCACTGTTACCAGTTCTTTGCTTTTTAAAAGCATCAATATTTTGTGTACTTTCAAGAAAATAGTTGATCAGTTATACTATGACATTTTTATGGCTCTCATGATTTTAAAAACAAGACCATAGGTACTATTTCATTTATAATATAAATAAATGTTTTGTCCTGTTGTTATAGAAAAGAAAACATATACTCCAAGTTATATCTGGTTACTGACATGGATGAGATCTCACAACCAAGACAGAGAGCCAGGTCCATTAGTTCTGAGCACGACATTATTGCTATCTGGATATGATTCCTCCATTTCTGTGTACTATGGTATTAGTGACACCGACAAATGAAACTGATACCACTGCTAATATAATTAGACCTTATCAATATTGAAGACACTAAAGTGACATTCCAGGAAAATTTAGAGTTGCCTCAGCACCATTTTTCATTCCTGCATTTAAAAAGTATGTCATGCAGCGACTAAGTACTACACAAGAACTCAGTGAGGTGCAACACAAGTTACTGCCTTCAAGGAACTTGAAGTCTAACAGAGCTGGAGGATGGAGAGCTGACTGCCGGAAGAGATGTGCCTCCAAGGCTCAGAAGAGAGACATGCGAGTCAAAGGCAGAGCGAGCTCCAACTCCTGATGCACAGAAGATGGAGAAGGGTCGGCTGGGTGGGAAGCTTGCAGAGATTCCATAGTGATGCCAGCCCGGCGCCATCAGACAATGGAGTGAATCATTTCCAGTTGCATCTTCTTAGAACATGAAACCCTGGAGAAAATGCTCAGCAGAGACCAAAGCTAACTCTGGGCACCTATACATTGTAGTGTTGCTGCGGCGTCCTTTGGTCCCGTGTAAGAGACACAGTGTGCAGGTGCATGTTACCAACTCTGGTTTGTTGTCCAGTAACGTCAATGTCTCACTTACTTAACCAAACATTTCCCAAACCGCTGTCACCACAGAAATCTCTCCATCCCTGCAGTACTAGCATCCTCCGGAACACTCTGAGAAACCCTGCAATGGACCCATAGGCTAACCTAATGGTTGTTGACCAAAAATCACCAGCTGAGGCTGAGAGAACAGAACCAGTCCCTGAAAGCCCTGTGAGCTAAGCAAAGGAGGTCAGAGACTGGGACCTGTGAGGCTTCGAGGGATGACATCATCAGACACATGCTTTGGAGAAATATTTCACGCCAGCTTGGAGCGTAGGTTGCTGATAGTTGAGAATCTGCACCAGCGGTAAACTAGGCAAGCGGCAAGGGAAATTAAAAATAAATTAATAATAATAATCATAAGGAAATAGGAAATAACGGAGTGGAAAAACACTAAGCATCTTAGTGTTGAGAAGCTTTGTGCTTAGTTGCTAGGGAGGCTAAGTATGAAAAAGAGATCTAGACTCATTCCTTTGCTTAGATAATATGATTATGTTGCTGATATCCAAGAACCTATTCAATAAAGGAAAAATCACCGGTTTTTCTGTAAAAGCTGTTGAGTGCTGTTTTGTGCATGTTGTATTCAAGGACCATGTAGTACCGGTAGCAGCCCAGGGAAGCTGTGTAATTAGTCGTATTCCTCAGACGATCACAGAGTTCTAGGAGAAAGATGAATAACTGGGATCGTAATCATCTTCTCCACAGAAGCGTCTAAGCAGGGGTGAGGAGACCGAGCAATCGCATCCAGGATAAAATGATCCACAGCTGTGGAACACTCAAACATTAAAACAGTAGGTTAAAGGAGGTTGTAACAACAGCAGAGAAAGCAGAAATGAATCTTTGAGAAAGCCAGAAACAAAAGCATTTGTAAAATCAACAAATTTAACTTTCACACGGTAGAGAAGGTTCACAGAAAACTGGAACACAGGTGCACATTGGCTTTGGAAATGCAGAGACCCCCAGAGGCTTTGCAAGAGTTGTCACAGTGAGAGCCCCTCGCAGGGCCTCATGGAACAAAGCACTGAGCATGCACCAATTCCAAAGGAAATTTACCTCTAAAATTGAGAATAAAAGAAAGGGCAGTGGCTGAGTAAGGGGAGGGTCAGGACCTGGAGGTGAGAGCCTCCAGTTCCTAGTCCTCAGTTCCTAGGACATAATAAATGCTCGATAAGTGTTTGTTGAGTAAGTGAGTGATGTTGATCATGTCTTTAGGCTGTGGAGAACATGCTAGTAAAGAGGAAATAATAAGAAATATAAAAGGAAAGACTCGTGCATGCTATAATACGGGCCCTTAGGAAGCATGCTGCAAGACGAGAGCAGGATCAGTAATCCTTTTTCCCCGCCAGAGGGTGAGAAGAGGCAGACGTGGAAAGCGGAGATAAATTTGTAGACATAAAGATTTAGAGGTAACTTTCTCTAGAGGCCCTACATTTTTGCTGAATATAAAAGCATAAATAGTAGCAGGGAAGAGACAGTCAAGCAACAAGTTTGAAGAAAGAAGAAAAACTAGTTATGCTTGTGCAGAAGGTAAAACAGAGAATGATACAGGAACCCTGGGCCATGGGTTATAGCTCTCACTCCACGATGCAGTATTGGGTTAAGTAAATCCATGTTGTAAGAGAATAGTTTCCGTAAGTTGACACCCTGTTAATAGAGGTCCTATAATCACGTGTTATCTGGGCTTTTCGATTCTGTCCATTGAAACAAGTAATCAAAAGGTCTATGGTCCTGACCCGTGTGAGTGCAAGATCAAGTTACTCTACTGTCTAAACCTGAAAAGAGGCAGCTCAGCATCCACCAGTGCGGAAGGTTCTGCCCCGTATCAGTGTGCTTTTCCAGTGTCACTAGACCTGCACTGTTGTTACCATGGAGTCTGCAAATTGGAAGGGACTTTTCCTTGTCCTACACAGTGTCTTTCTTCGTTCTTCATCTAGTTTCATCCTTCCGCTTGGTTGTCTGATAGCTTCTCTTTCACAAGTGTCTTTATGGGCTTCAGACGGATCATGACCTGGAACACTTCTACCAAATGTACAAAGCAGACATCTTCCCTTTTATTTGAGATATTAATTATATGAAATATCTTACAATTGCTTTTCATGAACTACCACAGTATCACTACTTTTTAAAGTCATATTGATCGTGTGCTCTTCGGTTGTTCAGAATGTGACTTTCAGATCACACTGGGATGTCTACCTTCTCCTGCCTGTAGCTGGTGCCCTCTCTCTGTGATCTCTGATGTTTCACCACCAGCTTTGAAAATCAAATAAGTGAGACTTTTTATTATAATAACTATAGCTAATCTGGTTTTCCATAGATATTTTCACACATGTATTATCTCTTCCCTGAAACTTTTGAAGCATTTTACTATTTCAGCAGGTCAATTAACATGAATTGGATCTTCAGTTAGAAATAAAAGCTTTGGAGCCATAAGAGAAATGAAGCAAAGGTTATGTAACCAAATAGTTCACAAAAGAAATACAAGAATATAATCACTCACTTGTCATAGCAATATTAAATGATCACTGTTAAAACACTGAAATAAGAGTTGCAGTTAGAGTCCACATTAAGGAAACAGAAAATAAACAAAAAATGTGTTACTACAGTGCAGGTATTTGAATAGCTAAAATTAAAAGACTTATCATACCCATGTTGGCAAAATGGCAGAGAAACTGAAAGGCTTATGTACTGCTGCTGTAAGTGTAAAATGACAAAAAAGTCACCAGGTTTACAAGTCATATGAATCAGTCATTGCATTCTTAGATAGTCACTGAAGATTCAGGAAAGCTTACAATATGTACTCAGATAGATGAGTATCAGAATAAGTTCTGAATGAGCTTAGTAGAGACAGAAAAATGCATTCATACAAAATTATGTGGACACTGCAGACTAATGTACAGTTATAGAAAACAAACAGAGGACCTATGTAGAAAGGTAGGAGAGAAGGGTTACAAAGAAGCCTAAGGCATTTTGGGGTCATAGGAATGAATCTTCATTTCTTTTACCATGGTGATGAGCTCCCGAGGTGTAGCTGAACTCCAGATCTTGTTAGGTATAACAGGCAAAATATACTATGTCACTAAAACTTAAAAAACAGCATGAGTGTTTGAGTGATTTAGAAATCCGTAAGGGGCTGACTAATTAAATCTGAACGGTGAGGATGGCTTTCTAGATTCGGAGTGTGCGCGAGGGTCACAGTGCCACCAAGTAGAACAAGTGGAGCAAGCCAGTGAGGTAGCACGTGCCTGCAGTCCTCGCTTCTGGGAGGCTGAGACGGGACAGCTGCAAGTTCTATCCCAGTCTGGCCAATTGAGTAACTTAGAGAGGTCTTGTCTCAGAAAGAAAAAGAGAGAAAAAGGACTGGGTGTGCGGCTCGGTGGGAAAGCCTTGGAGTCAAGGCCTGTTACTGCCAAAGAATAATGCATAAATGAGAGCAACATGATCATCATTTCATTTGGAATATGTAGTACTGAAGGAAAATACAAATAATAGTAGTGTATCATCATTTATTATGGATTTTTAGGTAAAAAAATATCAAGTCCAAGCACATAAATTATTTAGTCAACAATCTATTGTTAGAAGATAAAAACATGAGTGTTAGCGGATATCAGAATTGCAGAAGTGTGCAAAGAAATACGGAAGGAGATAAAGAATTGAGGTAAGAAAATGTAGACAATTTGGCACATTGGGAGCCAAAAGAAAAAATTTCCTTGGGGCTGGGGATTTAGCTCAGTGGCATAAGTGCCTGCCTTGCAAGTGTGTGGTCGTGAGTTTGATCCCTGGTACCTGTAAAAATACACACACAAAAAAAAAAAAAAAAAAATCCTAAAAAGAAGGATATACTAGCAACATCAAATACTGCACAAGAATCATGCAATGGACCGGAAGTCCTCTGCTAGGTCCGGAAAGGGGCTCTGGGAAGTGAGGCGGGTGGGTGCGATCACTGGCAAGGACTTGAGCAGGACGGAGGAGCACTGGCTGAGCAGTGGGATATGAATGGAAGTGCGGCCCCTGCAGTGTCCCTGCAGTGTGCATTATCGCTGCTTTTAGTATATGGATTAGTTGTTTTAAATTAATTATCCTCCACTAGTTTGAAAACCCACTGCCTCTTGAAAGTCAAACACATTCCTTCAGATAAGCCTGCCCCCTCCTTCTTGAAAGCCTGTTAGTGGAACCTTGCTCACTGATAAGTGTGTGATACCCCCAAGGGCACTATGTACTAGTAACTTATAAGTGTGTCCTATCCCCCAAGGGCAATCATGTGGACAGAAAGAATTAACCACATTAAAAGCAAGTCATTTATAACAACTCAGCCCTGATTGTAAAATTACATGCTGGCCCTACTCTGTGTCCATTATTCAATAAAGCCCTTATTTCCCTGCTTACCCATAAAAATGATGGCTGAACTCAACTTTGAAATTTTGTGTTACTAGCTCCCTTTCCTATTTGGTAAGGAAAAGGCATAGAGCAAAAACATAAAAGCAAATATTAGCATTTCCTAGCATTTCCCCCAGAACCCTCTATTGCTATCACTCAGGAGTTGGAAAAATAAAGCTTTCCCTTTAAGTTGGTGATAATATGCCACCCTACATCTCTCTGTCAGGGTTAACTTCCCAGCCAGTGAGTTTCAATTGAATTGTGTTGCTGCTCTTTAATCAATTTTCTTAGAATGATTTCTAAAAATGCATATATTCACTCAGGGATAAGGCGGAAAGCTAGCTCCAGTCACTGGCTTGCCAGTGATAGAGGCAGAATCTCATTTCATGGACAGCATTAAAATATCCACCAAGTCTGCAGAAAGAGACTATTTTCATGTTCCAGTCAATAGCAGCGTCTGAAACCTTCTTTGTTATCTGGATAAAAAGCAATATGCATGAGGAAGTCTTGGAAACAGTTTTGTGTGTCTAACCGCCAGGCCACTCAAAGGGATGTTAGTAAACAAAACTAATTATAGGTATAAAAGTAATTACACATGTGTAGAAATTAAAGTTTATGAAGGTAATTAAATTTTGAAATCTTAACTTGTTATCTGTTAATAAGATAATTATTCATTTTACATGTGTTTGTTGTTTGCTTTTACAAAAATCTGTTTTGAGATGCTAATAGTTCTTATATTGGATTTTGGACATGATTTCCATGGCAATTGTGTTTGAAGTTATCACACATTCTTTGGGAATAATACGAGTACAGAGTACGGTGGAATTTTGGAACTTAATATTTCTCTGTGTTTCCCAAAGAAAAGTAATTCTGAAAGCTAATGAGTTGAAAGAAAATAATGTTCCATGGTCACACCAATTTGGAAATACTTCTTGCTCCATTTACCTCTCAGAATTGCACAGAAGGAAGTCAAAAGAGTTGGGAAACCATGAAGTTAAGATATGCATTTAACTTTACTTCACCCAGTATTTACCATATTCACTAAAACCAGAAACATCCATACAACTAGGATTCCCAAAAATGAACACCTCAAAGTCTCCTTATAAGGTGTGGACTCAAATGCCTATCTTCAAACCCAAGATAATTCACATCTTGTGGCAATCAAAGATAAGAGACCGACTCTACTATGTTAATGAAATATGTGTATATGAATAAAAGATCCAAAATAGGTGAAATAGTTGAAGTTTGATGCTGTGTAGATGGTAAAAAGCACACACGTCAGAAAGCTTATTTTGGCCCTTAAAAATGAAAAAGGACCATCCCTGACATAATCCATTCTCATCTGCCCTCTCCAGAATGCAGAGAGGTGACCTTTCTCTTTCCTCTCTCTTTTTTATTTCTAAATTCTTATCTTCGTCATGTTAGGAACATGTTGAAAGACCCAGGAGAAAAGCAATAAAGCATGAGGACCACTCCTTCCTCACGGCCCTTGACTCCTGGGGATCCCACAGTCCTGCAGAGCCAAGCACCTCAAACCCTCCACACCCAAATTCAGCCACACTACACAAGGGAGGAGGCTTCACACACGAGCCTGAACGCTGGAGTCCTGTGGATACTGAAACTTACAGAAAGAACAGCGGAGTCCACATACTTCTAATAAACTCCTGGCTAGCTACTCATTTTAATATTTAAATGATGATTTTTTTAAGCCTGTTGGCCTACATTGAGGAAAACTGCGTGACGTGGTTCTTTGATGTCCATCTAGGGTCTTCCCTCTCATTTTCACTAGTTTGTCTTTATTGTGTTCTCATCACCATTTGTCTCCTCTCTTTTGTGGATGTTTCAACAATGTATCTTATCGGTGTTATTGTTCCTGCAATTGTTAAACAGTTAAATATAGTATAAGTGCTTCTCAAAGTTGGTGTTTGCTTATTAAGGAAGTTAGATTTATCTTGAAGTGTCAGCAACAATATTAGAATTGTTGATGCTTCTCAAATTAAATGTCAAATTCCTTATCTCCTTTACAGCCAACATATCAATTGTGGATATTGATACTAACGAGGAGGAGAACATAGCAACTTCATCTTCTGGAAACAACTTTGGTCTTGATTTGAAAGCTGATGACAAAATATATTTCGGTGGCCTGCCAACCCTGAGAAACTTGAGGTAATTTAGCATATATTTAAAGTGAAGAATCAGGTTTTAATTAAATGGTCGTTGTACTCACTAGAGTTCTAAAGCTTGATTACTACAGGAATGTCAGCTGACCTTTAGCTGCAGAAAAGACTAGTAAGAAAAAAGAATGTCGCATGTCAGAAAAACACCAGTATTTAAGGAGTCAAAGGATTTACTTGACATCTGTGAAGAGATGGGTGGGAATCGTTATTTCCCTCATAGGCACCTGCTGTAAAGAATTATGAAAGTGATTAGAGGTGGAAGGCAGTGTGGGATGTGGGTCTTGTAACTGCTGGTCCTCTTACACATTCACTGGAGATGATGGCCCTGTGACATTGGCTAGTGTTCTGAAAATTAGCCAGTGTGCCAGGGTGTTGTGAGTGTAGCTATTGTATTGCTAAGCATTAGCATCATAATGGCATATCACAGCTTTCCCATATGCCAGATACTAGAACTACATTAGCTATTCTGCTCGTGCTAACATTTTTTTAAATTTCACCTCTGCTCTGTATTTAACAGAATGAGCAGACATCACTAGCTCAGTACAGTTAGTACAAAAAATAAATAAATAGGTCAGAAAATATCTCATGTGGTGTTTAATTATTTACTGCTTATAAAATATCAGAAATAAAATTATAGAGTATATGGTACTCAATAAATGTTAATTGAACTTGATCAGAATGGGATAAGTTGATTTGGTAAAGCCATATGAGTTTTACTAGAAACACAGCATCATGTTTTAAATTTTGGTTTTGCTTAGTGTGGTGATTTTTCATGTGCATTAATTCCTATTTCGATGTTGTACACTAAGAAGACAAGTGACATTTGGCAAAGTCTCAGAACAGTGTAGCTGGCAGGTCTGCTGGTCAGATTGGCTGTCCATCTTTCAAAGGTGCAAGTTGATAAGCTTCATGGGTGTGCATCCATCTCCATCCAAATGTGTTCCTCAGTGTTAGGGTTAGAAATACAGGGTGTCAAGACAGAAAAATCCTTGCAAATCAAAGCATTTGAGTAGTGAAATACAGTAGTTACCTGGAAGCCACTTACTAAACGGGCACTCAATAAATGTTTATTGGCCATCTTCTATGTCCCAGGGACTGTAATAAATACTAAGGAATCTAGTAATTCTTTGATTTTAAGATTTTCTTTGCAAAATCAATAACTATATTCTATCAAAAATTAAATACAGAAAAAAATAAGGCTATCTGAAACTGGCTTCACTTTAGTGATGATTTTTAACTATCACAATGATTTTTAGCTATCATTTATAGAGAAGTACATGCTAACTGATTTGAGAAAGGTGTACGTCTTAGTTATTTTGGAGATATATCTAATGAGCCTTTATCATTAACTTGTTTTCACCTTCTCCATACAGCATTTTATAATTATAATATTGCTATAATATGGCATATTATTTCAAAGTAAAAGATGTACACCTATGACTGATAAAGGAAACAAATTATTTTGTACACAGAACTTCAATATGATAAAGTACAAAAGATGTAAATAAATTATTCTTACTTATATCATTAAGCTCAAGAAGCGATGTTCATAAGCACAAATACTACATTTGTGCATTTTCCCATACAGCTAGTAAAAGGAAGTGCTTTAAATTCACATTGCAAAATAAAAAGTTGTTAAGACAAAAATACGGAAATCTGTCATCTTTGAATTCTAATTTCACTTCAGTCAAAGGTATATGTCTATTTTTCTTTCTGATAGCATTTTGTATACCTTTCCGGTGAGATATTTTAAAAGATTCTTGATTACAGCTTGTTGTTATACTAAATGAAAATGCAATTACAAGTAAATTATCTTTTTTTTCTTCTTTTTTTCCCTCTCTTTGACTTAGTATGAAAGCAAGGTAAAATTTGAATTTATGCATGCCGTCTCCCAGTGCATGGGTTGGGTACGTGTGGCTTCTTAGATAAAGCAGCAGTGCAGAGGCAGAGCAACACCCGCGCTGCTTTGCTCACGGGCACCTCATGAGCCCATAAAGCGCTCTGGGAGACCTCGCCCTCTGCCCTTCACGTCCAAAGCTGCTCTGCTTGCCCACCAGCGGTGTAGATTTGTGCTGCTCAGCTATTCAACCACTTGCACACAGCGCCCCCTGGTGACCAGCAGCGCATACTCGAAGGGCAGCTGGCCAATTTCACCGTCAAGGTCTAGTCCCAGCGAAGAGAACAAAGGTCTCTGGTTGAACTCCAGCCTCTGACCTCCCTAGTGCCATTCTGTCTGCTAAACGCTCCACGTGTGCTCTCAGATGCTTGTCACTGCCTTTTTTGCTTTTGTGGGCCTGCAAATATACAACATTTATGTGGCCTGGGCACCTCCTGTCAAAGCTGCTTATTTATTGCCACATTTATTTAGAAATAGCTATGGAGCCAGATGAAAAGATCTTCTGGAAATAAGAATTTAAAAGTGTGTGAATGAATGGGAAAGAAATTTGTGGAAAGTCTTCCCAGCATCTCTGGAGCTTTGAATTCTTACATGCAAGAATTAGCTGCCTCTCTTAGGTGGCTGAGCCAACCCCAGAGATGTGCAGAGTTGGCACACAGTGGAGGCTGGTGCTTCACATTTTAGAGCCTATCTGGGCCAAATTTCTGAAAAGGAGGTAATGAGATTGAACTGATTCAAGAAATGTTTAAACCAAAGGCCAGAGTTTTAATGCCCGAAACTAGAAAATAGAACAAAATAGGGAAAATAGAACTAGTTGTTGTAGGATAACATAGTTACAAGCCACTCGTGCTATATTTGCTGAGTTGGTTCAAAAACCCAGGCTGGCTTCCAGTGGAAACGTCGCAGAAGACCTCTAGGATGGCACCGTGGCAGTCTGTACTTTTGTCTGTGAGTGGTGAGAGCAGAGGCCATGGTTCTTAGAGGAAGAATTCTGTCGCTCTATCATTACTTACTTCTTGTGATTTTCATGATGCGGAAGCCAGCTACATCGTTGTGTTTTGAAATAAGCTTTTGTGTTTCCATGAAGCCAGGAATTTACTGGGGTGACTTACTCTGTCTAAAAGACCTCTAAAAGAAAAATATGATACATCTGGAAGCAACTGAGTATTACAGATGAAATTCACACATTCCCTTTGCTTTGCACAAAAAGATTAATAAGATCCTCATCCTCTGGTTGGACATGTTCTCCATAATTAATAGTTGAAAGAACAGAAGAAGAACCTGGGAGAAAAGGGAGCGATCAAAGAAAATACAAAGTTCCACAGAGAGTGGAGTGGAGGTGGGGATCAAAACAAATACCTGACCTGAAATAAATCACGCGATCCATGCTGCCAGGGTCTAATTTACTTTTCCACCTGTTTTTCCTCATGCCATGTGCTTTTTATTAAGATGAAAACAGAAACTTGGCATCAGGGAACAATGAGAAGAGAATTCATCCTTACTCTATCGAATACAATATTGGTGTTAAATGTAGAGTTTCTACAGATGCTTATTAATACCACATGAGAAAAGATTACATGCTTACCCCTAAATACCATCACTGTTCAAGGTAGTAGCCATCACCCTCAAAGGTTACATCATTTTTAATGAAAAACCAATAACAGTTTATGTTCATCTCCTCACTGGAACAAGCTATATGGCCAGTCATCGTGGCCACCAATGGCTAGTGACCACTGACGTGGGCAGTGCAGGACAGGACTCAGTCATCACAGAGAGCTCAGCTGGACAACTCAGCAATAGATCCTAGAGGTGTCATCACCACGGCACCCTACCAGCTTGTGTTGTCACTTACAGGCGCCATGTCCTGCACTAATGCTCACAGACTTCACAGTCTAGGTGCCTCATTATCACCATGCCTGTTGCACAGATAAGGACTCTGAGTCTTAGAGAAGTCACATCGCTGGTGTGGTCTCACAAAAGAAGTCAGAGCAGCATGCTTGGAAGAAAGGGCAAAGGAGCCATCTTTAATCCGTTAGCAGGTCTGCTCTCTTTTAAGAAGTACTTAGCAGAAAAAAACCACTCAGGTATAATGTGGGTGTGGAGGAGGGTCAAGGTTAGCAAATGTATGGGTCCCGCTTTTGGTGGTTTTGTTTTGCTATTGTTCCAATACAGAATGCAAACCTTGGGTTCAATCTATAAATGCAATTTTAAAATTTATACTTTTAGGCTATATCATCCAGAAGGAGGTTTCTTGGATTTTGTTTCACTTCAAAGTTTTAAAAAATTATATTTTAGTCCAACCACTATGTCCAAATACTCAATGAAAGAAATATTTTTCCAAAGAAACATGCATTTTTTGAAATTTGGAGCAAGATTTTTAAAAAGCTTTCGTAACCTAGTTTGATTATGCTGCCTACACAATTATCTGGCTTTTGGTGGAAGAAAGAAAAAGAAAAGAAAAAGCATTATTTCATTATATAAAGCATTGACAAATCAGTCACTCCCTGAGCCTTGTAGTGAAGTGCTATAAATGGAGTGATTTTTAAAGAGAAGAAAAATCCCATCCAGACCCTTCACCAGGATGCTGTTAGCACGCACCTCATCCGAGAAGCAGGGCACTGGGCACGTGGCTTGGTGGGTGTGGGTATGTGTGCTCCAGGACTTCATAGGCATCACGTGACTTTTTCCAGGGCTCAGAGACCACACTGCCACCACCCTAACAATGTTGCTTTTGTTTTCCACTTGACTATTCAATAGGCCAGAAGTCAACGTGAGGAAATATTCTGGCTGCCTCAAAGACATTGAAATTTCGAGGACTCCATACAATATCCTGAGCAGCCCCGATTACGTTGGTGTTACCAAGGGGTGCTCCCTGGAGGTGGGTCTGCTTCTCCAGATTCCTGGGACACATTCTGACCGTGTTTCATTGGTTTAGTTTGAATGCTCTTATAAGGATTGGTTTTTTCCATATATTTTAGACTCCTGTACAAATGATTAAGCAAAATCAAAGCCTTCTGTAAGTCACAGATTGAATAAAGATTCAAAATCCTGCTTCACGTTGCCAAATGTCTAGTACTTCATAGCATATATCTTTATTGTTAGTACCTCTTCCAGTTCTCTTTTCTTTTGTAACACCATCTTTCCTGGATTTCTGCAGCAATTTTAAATTGATCTTACTTTTCTGTACTATGCACAGCTTTATTAGCCACATTAGATTTTCTAGAATGTATTGGGATTTAAACAGGGAAGCAATAATTTATAGCATAACTACTAGCCTATAACATTTTTTAAAATTTTTTTATTTTTTACTTTTAAAAGATTAAGATAAAAGAGGACATAACAAAACAGATCAGAACAAAACAATTTAAGCAACATAGTGTTTCACCACAAGAAAACTCGATATAACAGTAGCTACCATAGTGTCTCTTTCCTTGAAATATTTGAGTATAACTTCGTACACTATAGTGTCAAACATAACAAGATAGTATAAAACCATTCAAGAGAATGAAAGTATTACAGGGTATTTAGAACCAACTAACAGAAAATGAACAATGGTTTCTATATTATCTCCTTGTCCATAAATAAGTTTGTTTATACTATCACTTATAATAAAATCCAATAAGATACAACATGATAAAACTGATGGAGACAGAAGAGCAAAAGCTTTGTAGGACTTCAAAAAAAGGTGGTATTAAATCAGCACTAACTATTATAATGTCTTGTTTTCTGATCCTATAACATCTTGTCCACAGTTTTGAAGTCTAGTGTTTGAAATAGCATAGATAGGGACCTGAGATGTCCAAGACCCCCAAAGATTTGTGTGATGTGAATGCCACATCCCTCCTTAGCTGGTTTTCTTAGGGTGTCTGTGTTGCTAAAGCAGCCCAGAGGCATCCTGACTGCACCCGACCATTCGACACTGACACTTCAGCTAAGGCTGATCCAGATGTGAAAGAGACCCAGGGCATAGCTTTGCTCTGCTAAAATACCTGTGAGCAGGACCCAGTGGTCAACAGCAAACAGTACTAGGAATTTTATAAACACTCCACAGTGGTGAGCTTTTTGAACTAAGAAAATATTAATGGTGTCACACAAGTTTTCAGTTATCCTGCTAGGATATAATTATTCATTGTGGCTGTTTCCTCAGATTAAAATTATTTTAAAATACTCCAGGAGAGTTCAAGGGAGTGAAGGAAGGACAGAGAGAAAGAAAAAGTGAGTCTGCCTTCCAAGCATTAAGGTTAAAGACTGGAACAGGACTTTCAGCATTTTCTTTGTTCATAGCTGCAGGCTCCAATTTAGAAGTGGCCACAGATTCCCACCCTGGGCTTGGGAGTCAGCCAAAGAGAATACAGAAAGAATTAAAACTTGAAGGGTCAAGCCTGGCTTCTGAGGGAAATTTCCACTGAGAATTTGAATCTTCCAAGCCCACCGCTCACCCACGTTCAGAAAATACATACATGAGGACCTGTCCAGGACGTCAGTGTCCTGTATGTGTGGAAATGATAGATCTGTAATGGCACTTTCCGGCACCGGGAATCATTTGACAACTAAAATGTGTGCCAGAAATGTGGCATGGATAAATACTGAAAAGTCTGCACAGGGGTTTTATATGAACTCTATAAAACTCCATGATTTGAAAATCTGAAGAGAAAGTAAATGATACATTTGTACCAGCTTTTGTGTTGTTTAACTGGGCTTGAAAAGGGCTCACATGAGAAGATTCTTTGCTTTTATTCAATAAAAATCCAGGGCTTTCTAAATGAATATTTTAAGCACTGTAAATGCCCAATGATGTGGGAGCGTTTAAACAAATGCTAGAACATTTATACTGTGGGATGAACTGCAGCTATTGAAATTGCATTTACTGGTAGAGAGCTATCCACGATGTGTGTAAGTGCAAAAAGACGATACAGATGAGTGTGTCTGTCATGGTTCCATTTGCAGAATCATGCAGAAGAAGCCAAAGAAAGGGGGCAAAGATGGAAAGATAGGGTGACTGAAAGGAAAAATTCTAGAAAGCTCTATGCAAGCACAGCTTTGAGGAGAACTTTCTCCCTTTCATGCCTTGTCACTTTCTGAGGCATAACTGTATTAATTTTATAACTAGCAAGAATGTTATTATTTTTATTGTGAGAAAAACAAAAAGAACAAAGAATGTTTGGTTTATGTATTTTAGAGATGTAATTTGCATTTGATTCTAAAATTATTCTAGGGATTCTATTTTGGATAGTGATAAGCATCTTCTTCATCAACTCAATGCAAAAAAGAATGCAGACATAGACCTTGTGGCCACACTCATCTTGAAAAATACAAAAATTAAACTTGCAGAGTGATTCATAGGATAAACTATAGTATTTTCAAGGAAGATGGTAATGTAGATTGTTTTGAGTGATATACATTTAAACTGATAGAAAATGTCTCAGTGATATTTCAGTATATGAAATCAAAAGTTCTAGATGAAAAGCCAAGGCCAGAATTTTATTTTGAACCAATCTGCTCAGAAGATTTAAAGTAGTAACTATAAATAATGGTTCTCAGCTGCCTTTCAGTTTTCTGGGTAACTATGGGTTTTCATGCTTCAAATGCTATGACGTATTCCGTAGTCCCACCGAGTGCATGAGAGAGGAGAGTGAAATGGGGAAAATAACTTGGCTTTTCATTCCTAACAATGTCTCCCTTTCTCTTCCCCACAGAACGTGTACACAGTGAGCTTCCCCAAGCCTGGTTTTGTGGAGCTGGCCCCTGTGCCCTTTGATGTAGGAACTGAAATCAATCTGTCCTTCAGCACTCAGAGCGAATCAGGGCTCATCCTCCTGGGGAGTGGAGGGTCCCCAGTTCCACCCAGGAGAAAACGAAGGCAGACCGGACAGGTACCCCACACAGTTAAATGCTTTTATAGTTTTAGATTTGTATCTTTTAGCTCCCGTTTTAGCTAACCGAGACCAACATTCCACTCTGTTGCCAGCCCGCTAATCCTCTCAGACCATTTTCTTAGGATGATTGGCTTCTCTAGATTTTCATGTTGGTCAGGTTCAGGTTTGAGTCATCCCTGTATTTGCTCTGTTTCACATAGGTCAATGTATGCATGTATAAAGACAAAAGCCTGGGATATATTCAAGTTATATTAATCTTTTCTGGTCTCTAAGTCCAGCTTCATACCAGGTCTATGGCTATTCAGCTAGGATTCCTGACATTTATGTTAAAGAATTTCTTCCAGAATGAGTTTCCAGGTATGCTAGTGGAGGTGGTGCCACCGGCTGGAACCTGACCATTTCCCCTCTCTGCACACACAGGGAAGGACAGGTGGGGCCTGGGTAAGAGAGGATCACAGAGCAGAGCCCAAATGGACATGGACTGTTACCATTCCAGGGTGGCCAGATAACACCTGAAGTGCACCCTTTGTGACACTGTGGCTTGAGTGCTTATTCTCTTTCCTATGGTGCTATGAATCGAACCCAGCCCCTTGCCCTGAGCTACATGGCCAAACTTGGTCTCACTGAGGCAGGGTCTCACAGGCTGCAGAGCTGGAGCTTGTGATTCTCCTGCTTCACCCTCCCAGAGTGCTGAGAATACTGGTGTGTGCCACCTACCAGGCTACACCTGAGCCTTCCTGTCCCCTGATCATTTGATTCTATGAAAAACAGTTCTCAGTTACCACATTAGGGTATCAAAGCACTTTACTCTTTTGGTGTTCCCTCCTCTCCTTCAACCGTATTTTTAATTTAATTTTTTCTATTTAATCTGGTTTCTGTCAGGGATCAGAAAACTGGCGTGCTTCACAAATACATCCTTAATTATGCACGCACCCTGTGAATCAGGTCATGCAATTTTTTATTTTATACATCTTTTAAATTAATCAGTATAATGCAAGTATAGTGCAAGAACAAGTACATAATCTAAGAATAAGTATAACAACTTACCTTTGGATTTATATGGAGAAAATGATAAGATTTGCCTGAAAAACATAAAAGCAGTCCTCGTGAATTGAGCATCTTCAACAGTGTAATGAACAGCAAAAACTTCATATTAAAAATTTGTCAATTATCCCTGAAATCATAGGTAGATTCAATTTTAAGAAAACATCACTTGTCTTTATGCAAATTGGGATACACTAGTTCTTAAATTTATATCAAAAAATAAAAACTCCTGAAATAGAAGAACCAGGTGGTAAGGCTGCCTTATGGAGCATAAGTACATTAAAAGCTGGAGTTTTGGATCTTGGAAAATTCTATCCTGGTGGATCACAGTAGAGAACCAGTTTAAGTGGAAATAACATCTGACCACAATTCTCATGCAGAGTATCAAGGAAACATGAACAGTTCAGTGAATGATACCAGGGCAGTCATCATGTGTATGGGGAAAAGAAAACTGAGTTTCTACTTCATACCAAACCAAATAAATACATAAAATAAAATCCCAGTGAATTAGTCTTAAATTTGGAGGGAAAACTTTATAATTTGTCAAAAAAAAATACATTGAAGGACCACTCTTGGTCTTGAGGATCAGAATGATTTATGGAACAAAAAGACACTGCAATCAGAACTGCATCAATATTGAAATTCTCTGATCGTCAGAATACAAGAAGCAGAAGCCTGGCTATATCAGCTAGAAAAGCAGGCAACCACTATGGAAAGTAACGTACAAACTAACCAGTAAAAGAGAGAAGCATACAACAATGGACAAAAGATATGAAGAGACATTTCATAGAAGATATTGGTTCAAAATGTATTTTTAAATGTTCGACCTCAACATAATGAGGGAAATCCAACTCCAACA